GTCCTTGACCCCCTGCACCCACGTGGAAGACCCAGATGGAATTCCGGGCTCCTGGCTTTACCCTGGCCAATCCTTGACTGGTGTAGCCATTTGGGGAGTGAATCAGTGGATGGAAGATCTCTTTCTGTCTTCTCTCTTGATATCATTCTGCCTTTAAAATAAAGAAAATACAATTTTTAAAAAGACACAGAATTTGAGTTTACACAGAGCCTAGTAAGAGCTTGAAAAAAGAGTCTGGCAGATACGCCTGGGGAGTTCACGCTTTCCCACAGCAGAAGTAACTGCCTGTGGTCTGACTCTGTAAGCTGGGCCAGGAAAAGTGGCAATACCAGAACCAGGATATGGCCCTGGAAGAGATTCCCTGAGGCTGAGGCTTGTTGCATCCACAGTTGCTTTTTTTTCCCCCCTCAGATCAGGCTGGATCATGGAGAACTGTGGTGGAATAAGGAGCTGCAAAGACTGATCAGAGTGGATGCAGTGGGTTAAGTGGAGACTAAGACATCACACAGTTGGAGCCTTCTCTAAGCCAAGTGTGTAGTGCAATTGAGCACTTGGGATTGCAAGCCCAGAGAGCCTGGAGATCAAGTTACATCCAGAGCTGCAATCAGACCGTGAGTCATGTAAGTGGTGCCCCCTGGAGGTGTGTGCTGTAATGATGCTTCTGTCAGCTCTGCCCAGATGCTGTCAGGGACAGAGGGGCTGGTACCCAGATTAATCAGTTCCACGTATGCAGGCTTCCTCCTTGCGGCTCCACCATCAGTGCTAGTTGGAGGCAGAGCTACATGTCACTCTCCAACAAAGAGTTTTCTCCCCTAGATGGGCTGAGCAGTGTGGGTATACTGGTCACCTAAAGGCTAACCAAGTAGGGTGAATCTTGCCAGGAAATCAGAGGAGCCAACTGAGTGTCCATGGTCACTCAGCAGGAGGATGGATTTAAAACAAAAACAAACAAACAAACAAAAAACTCCTTCCTATCTATCAGCAGAATCTCATGATTTGGGAGTGGTCCGATCCATGGCAGTAGCCTGCCACTCTACCCCTCCTCCCTCTGTCCTGCACCCAGTTGCTGAAAGACCTAATAAGACAGCCAGAATTTGAGGATCTTAGGGCTGGGGGCTGGGCAAGGCCCTGGAGGCTACCAGCCTTTCTTATAGGCCAGAAGAGACATGAATCAGCCTCAGGCGCCTCTGCCAGCTGCTGATGGATTTTTCTGCCACTGGCGCTCATTTCCTGAAAGGCTTTTACTTCCACCTTCAGGCACTCCCCCTTAGCAGTGGGGAATCCATAATGATCTCTGAGAGCAACTTGGGGAAGTTGCCATGATCCTCCACTAGCTCCTACGGCAGCAAGGGCTGGGTGTGGGGGAGCAGAGAGGGCACACAGTAGGGGCGAGGAGACAGGTGTCCTATCTGTGGCTGCAGGGGTGGGGGATCAGGGAGGTGACAGCACGGTTCTGAGCCGTCACAGAGACCGTTCCATACTGCAGAGCAGAGCCAGAGAGGCCAGCAGTGTGCCTGAAAATGTACTGAGGAAGAGGCCTGCTGACGGATCCCAACTCCAGGTGACTTCCCAGGCAAACTGACGCGACCTCCACCCCTCTTGGCTGCTTAGTCACCACTGCTGCCTCAGTAGCACCTGGCCCCCCAAAGTCTTGGGGACTTTTCCTGGGCCCCACAGATAGGAACTGTGGTTTCCCCAGCCAGGGAAGGGATCATGTGCACCCTCAGGCTGGGCTGGAGGTCAGAGCTCTGGGCCCATGGTAGGCCAGGGACCATCTTGCAAGTATGGCAGAAATGGGTAGTCAGAGTTGACCTGTCTTGCTCAAAGTGACTTGGAACAACAGGACATTTGAGAGTCTCACTCAATTCATGCTTCCCCTCACCTGTTCCAAGTATTTGTCCCCTGTCACTCCACATGGGAGACTGGATGAAGTTCCTGACTTTTAGCTTGGCCTGGCTGAGTTAGCTATGCAACCATTCAGGAGGTGAGCCAATAGATAGTTCTTCTCTCTCTGTAACTCTTCCAGGTAAATAAGTAAATCTTAGAAAATCTGATTCCTGGGCCTGGCTAAAGTCCTATCATGCACGTGCCAGGATCCCATACGGGTGAGGGTTCTAATCCTGGCAGCCCCGCTTCCCATCCAGCTCCCTGCTTGTGACCTGGGAAAGCAGTCGAGGACGGCCCAAAGCCTTAGGATCTTGCACTCACACGGGAGAGCCAAAAGAAGTTCTTGGCTCCTGGCTTTGGATTGGCTCAGCTCTGGCCATTACAGCCACTTGGAAAGTGAACCAGAAGACAGATCTTTCTCTCTGTCTCTCCTTTTCTCCGTAAATCTGACTTTCAAATTAAAAAAAAAAAATCTGATTCTTGCCCTCTGCCATCTTCTGTGTGCCCATGCACTGCCCTGTGGGCTCCCCTGAGCACTGCCCTGACTCTCTGTCCTTCCACCCACCTGGTTGTGTGTCCACTGGCTTTCTCTTTCTTCCCTCTTGTGACTTTCCTGGCCGATTGTTCTGGCACTTTTCGCTGGGCCTCCATCCCTTTCCCTTCTGTCCAGTGCACTGGCACCTGATTCCATTCAATATTCTAAACAATCAGCTTCTCCAACCCATTCCCTGGCACACTGAACCCCCTTCCACCGTGTCTTCTAGAAACTTTGCCCTCCCCTACAGAGGTCCACCTTGCGCCTCACTCCAGGGCCCCCAGTATGTCCAACTTCAGTTGCAAGTTTCTTGGGGGAAGGGAATTGCTCCCTGGTGGAGCCTCCTCCATTTCAGGGCTTTCATTGCTGGTTCCTGCTGCAGGGTCCACCCTTCTAGGGCCTTCGCGGGCCTGCAGGTGTGTGAGCCAGGTTGCAGGTGAGGAAGTTCCTGCATTCACTAGTTAGTGATGACAGCCCCTTTCCTGGACCCAGTCAGTCGCTCCACTGAGCCAGGCAGCCAGGCCCCTGCCCCCAATCCCTAGTTCTCCCCCTCCGCCCTGCCCTGGTGAGTGATGGCAGACGTAGGGCGGGGGAGGGCCAGCTCGTGCGCCGCCAGCATCCGGCGGCAGCGAGTTCCAACTCCCGGCGCCCTCGCGTCCGCGGGGCTCTGGCCGGGTGCCAGGCGCTGGATCGCTCACCACAGTTGGCGGGAGGCCGGACGGCGTGTCCCCCGGGGCTCCCAGGCAGCCGGCGCTGTCTGCAGGTCAGGGAGGGCTCGGCGGGCTGGCGAGAGCGCCGGGAGCCGAGGGCTGGGGGCGGCGGCGGCGCTGCGGAGGCTGCGGTCAGCCCCCGCCCCGCCGAGGGGCAGCGTCTCCCGCACTAATTGGCCCTTCCCCAGCTGCCTTGGCCGGTAATTGCTGCTTGGAGTGGTAGGGTGGAGAAGGGGGATGTTGGAAGTGAGAGAGTTTCAGGGGAGTGAAAAGGGTACTGCTTTTAGAGTGGGGAACCGGGCTGCGGCCGGGGTGGGTGCTGGGGCGGCTAGGGGCAAACGCGAGCTGTGGCACTGGAGCGCCTGCTGGGTCAAGGCAGCCACCCAGAGGCAAAGTGGAGACTGGGGTGGTACGCAGCGGATTCCAACTTCTCTTCCGGGAGTGTAGGTCTGGGGAGGAGCTGACAGGAAGAAGGCAGCATCTTCCTGTGCCTTTGGGGGCAGTCCGGGTGCCCCCACAAATTGTGCTGTGTGCTCAGGGCTCCCCAAATCTCTTTAATATTTTCCTCCTTGCTGAGCCCTGCTGGCCTTGGGTCCTGCTCACAGCACTTCCTCTAATCTGGGGGAGAAGGGCAGATAGGTCTTTTGAGAAGAACCTTGCAGCGGGGGGTATAGAAGAGTCATTGATGACTCCTGTAGGGCACAGTAAGGCAGGGGGAGCCCTGCAGTGAGTCCTTGCCAGGGCCAGAGGGACTGGACTTCACTCTTGATCTAGCGCAGGCAAGTAGGGATTCAGAGCCAAGAACATCTGGATCAATTACCAAGAGGATAGGAACATCAAAAATGGGGGATGACCCCCTCATGATGATGTAGAGTGATGCTTGTCAAGCATTTGGGGTGGGGGTGTCCCAGGAAAATTGAGCATGATTCTTGCTCAGATTGGACAACCCTAAGGTGAACAAGGGAACCTTCCAACTCAGGTCTAGTTGAAGAGGAGCTGGGAGGAGGCTCAGTGGAGGCTGACTAGAGTTTGTGAGGAAATGAAGAACCCTCCAAGGCAATCGTGGGGACCAGGCTGGGGCTGTGATACAGGTGGGACTCAGGACCTCCAGGATGGGGTGGCCCCTGTGTGCAGGGGGAATGGGTAGCAGGTGCACGCTACTCCAAGTGAAAGAACACAGACACCCAAGATCACCAAAGCAATAAAATGACAACAAGGCCGCTAGAGAGGCCAGAGCTCTAAGACCTAAGCTGAGGGGGCACTGTGTATAGGGGGGCATGTCCCGGCACAGTACACTGCAGCCTCAGTCCATGTGCTGCAGCTGTGTTTGATGGAGTTCAGTGCATGGGGCCTGGCTCCAGGCAGGAGCACACAGCCTCCCTCCCTGCCTCCAGGGCACTGCTGCACCTAGCTGGTCTATGGCTGGGGTAACAAGGTCAGGCCAACACGCCTTGACTCAGGACCATCCTTGTGTGCGGGCTTTGGAGGGGCTGGGGATAGGAGGGGAGTGGAGATGGGGAGGAAGAGCACAGGTTGTTACTTTCCAGTAGTAAGGGGCTGCCAGTAGATCCTGCAGGCGGGGGGTGGGGGGGATGGAGGGGGAGCACGGGACTTTGACACAGTGGACACAGAAGAGGGAGGAATCTTCCTGAGGCTGGGCAGCTGGGTGCAAGCTGCTGATGAAAGGGCCTGGCCTAGTCCCATAAAGATGTTGAGGTAGGGGGCAGCAGGGCACAGCAGGCTGGGGAGGGTGGGATGGGCTAAGGCTGGAGCGCTGACCTGGAGGCAGGTCCAAAACTAGGGCATGCAGGACTCTAGTCCCCACATGTATCTGCAGCCAGTGTCCCCAGGGCTGTGGGTGACAAGCTTCCTCCTTCACAGCCGCTCTCAGGACTGTCCATGCTTCCTGGGGCGCTGAGGTTGGCGCATCCTGACCCAGAAGGCCATCTTCTCCTGCCTGAGCTTCTCCCCTACCCTTACGTTGAAGTCCAGCCGCAGGTACTGCTCCTTCTTGTCAAACTGCGGCCAGTAGGGCACCGTCCCATCATTGGGATTTCTGTGCAGTGGAAGAAGGGAGAGAGAATGATTCCTTTTTCATGCTGCCTTGTTCTTTCACTGCCCTGCCTCCTTTCTTTTCTTTGCTTTCCCTTTTAGGACCTGGTGTGTAGTGGGAGGTGGGGGGGGGGGTATGGTGGCAGGCCTTCAGGTGAAGTTCCATTGTCCTGGCTTTCGCTGGGCCAAACCCTGCCTATTGCAGCCATTTCAGGAGTGAACCAGCAGATGGAAGATTTCTCTCTTTTTCTCCCTCTCTCTTTAATTATAGCTTTCAGATAAATAAGTACATAAATAAATTCCTTAAAAAAAGAATGAATTTGTTATAAAAAGAGGCAGCTTGGTCCCTGAATATTACTGGTTTCCTGTCTGTCTATGTGACCTCTCCCTGGGACGCGTCCTGCCACCCAGACACTCACCAGCCTCACCAGGGGCTGAGTACTTGCCAGGGCCAGGCTCTTGAGTCTCCAGAATTGTGAGCTAAATAAATCTTTTCTGGAAGGTGTGTGAGGGGACAGATGTGAAAAAGCAGATAACAAGGAAAGATTTCTGAGCAGTTTTTATGCTAGGCTGTGTACGGATCTGACACTTCGTCCTGGGAACAGAGGGGAGTGCTAGTTTTAAGTAGGCGAATGACTTGTTTGGGTGGTGTATCAGACACTTTAAGTGTCACCAGGAGAATGGATAGAAAGGAGAGGATTGGAGACAAGAAAACAGTTTCAAGGCCAGCCACTGTTCCTTTCTGTTGTCACCTCCACTTGACCCCTACTCTGTCCACCTGGGCTGAACCAGACACCTCCTGTCTGCCCTCACAGTACCTTGTGCTCCGCTGGCACAGCACTGACTGTGCCGGATGGGAGGTTTATGTTTTCCTGTGGGGGAGATCTTGGAGGATGGGGCTCCCAACTACTGCATCCTTGGGCCCCAGCTCCCAGGGCTGGGCATGAAAGTTAGGAACTGCGATTGTTGAATGGGGGTGTGAGTGAGTGGGGGTGAGGGGTCTGGGTGTGGCTCACGGGACCAGGGGGGACACATCCCCGTAACACTGAGGATCTCCTGACTGCCTGGGGAAAGAAGAGGGAGAAGGAGCACTCCAGGAGGCTCTGCCTGTCCAGTGGGATGTGCAGGAGGCACAGAACTGGAGCAGTTGCCGTTGGCTAGCCTTGCCCAGCTCTGTCAGGGGGTCAGACTCACCCTGTGCGGGCAAAGTTGGCCCAGTATCTCATGATTCGGAAGCTGAGAGTCTTCGCTGCCGCTGTGGATGGTCCTGGGGGGGGGGGACAGAATGGGATGTGGCATTTGGAACAAGAGTCAGGTGGCAGAATACTTGCATGTGGGACAGCATTCTTGATTAGGGACTGGTCAGCCCTTTGGGGGTCTGGGCCTGGAGGGGTGGGTGTGCACAAAGAGGTGGGAGACTGGAGGAGGAGGTCAGGTGGGGCTCCAGCACCTTTGAAGAAAGGAGTTCCGAAGACAAAGCGAATCTCATCCCCATGGTCGGCCCCATCGGTGCAGGGTTTGATGATGACGATAGAGGGGGTTTGGTGTTCAAACTCGTACAGGTAGACAGGGTGGCCGGCATCTGCAGACAACGAGGCCGAGAAGGGTGGCAGGAAAAGCCCCAGCCAGGCTTCCCTTCCATCCCATTCCCCCTACCCACCTGCATCCAACAGGGGCCCAGCCTTTCTGAGTTGCAATTCCCCCAAAGCCTATGACGCTAAAATCTCATTTATTTGATTGTGGCAAGGATCACGGAAACCTTTCTTTTTCTCCCTCAGGAAGCTTCCTTTCCTGGCCTGGCATTAAGGGTCTCTGGCATATTCCCTCTGCAGCCCCCACTTTGCCCTCTTTTCCAAGTCTAGGACTCTCAAAGTGCCCCTAAGTCTGTTCTCTCAGCCAGAAAGTTGCCACCCCTGGGCCACTCCAGGTTCTGTCCTCTGGGATAGCTGAGGACCTGCCATTGTCCTGGGGTACAGTCAGCATCCCGCTGTCTCCTCTATGGCATGCTGGGATCCTGCTCCAGCCTGAGGTGTATGAGCAGGGGGTATCCCCAGGTGGAAAGGGGCCAGGCCCAGAGTGGCCTCTCTTGGGGACCCCCACCCAGGGGACCCCCACCCACCCCGGTGGTGGCGGGCAGTCTCCAGTGCACAGTAGACAAAGGTGGCATCACCAGCCAAGTCCATCACGTGGTCCCGGTACTTCTTCCAGTTATGTCTGTCGTGTCGCAGGTACTCCTCCATGGCCCGAGGTATCTGCTCCTTCGTCACGTTCTGGGCGGGAGGTCACGCTCAGCCGGAGCCCTGCAGTACCAGCTCAGCCAGAAGAGGGCGCACCAGTGACTTGGACTCAGGCTCAGCCCTCCAGGGGGAGCTTCCTGGGCAGGTTTTACCCTTTGTTTTTGCTGCGTGGGAACCACCTCCCATGAAATTTAGGGGGCTTGAGGTACCTCGTCCGAGCCCATGACAACCTCCCCTAGGATCCTCACAAGAAAGACCCCCTCCTTTCCCAGAGTAGCTCCTACAGAAGAAGCAGGGGTCCACCCTGCCCATTGCTGGACTCCTCACCAACAGGCTGCTGGTGTTCCACAGGAGCTTGGTGAGGAATTTCTTTCTCATTAGATTCCGGTTTAGCGGGAACCTTAGGATCTGCTCACAAAACAAAGGCCCGGGGTCCATCAGGTTTCTGCAGCTGCTGGTGGTGGGGGTGACCAGAGCCATGTGGGGGCCCCAAGGGTCTTGCTTTTCTCAGGGCTGAGTTCTCAGAGCACACAGCACCCAAAAGTGACCATGACCCTGCCCTCCTGCTCCCTGTCCATCACTAACTCCTACTCCAAAGCTGAATTGGGGCTGGGCTGTCTACCCTGACTCAGGAGGCTTGGGAATGGGCATAGTAACCCTTCTAGACTATGATCTGAGGAAACTGGAGTCCCAGACCTGCAAGAGGCTGGCTACTCATCTCCTCTCCCCTTCTGTATCAGTCCTGGCTAGTGACGACAGGAGACTCCCTGGTGGGGCTGTGAGGACCACACCTAGACACGTCGCTCTGATGCTCATCACCCCTCCTGACTGCAGTGAGCACCCCCTTATACTCACAAAAGGCAAGAGCCATCTGAACTCCCGGCTGTTGACACCTAGAAGGTAGGGCACAGGTAAAACCTGTCCCCTGGACAAGAGCACCTCAGGGTCATCTGGGAACACCACGCCGTCCACCACAGCACCCATGATCCACGTCATCTGCAAGGCAAAGGGCATTTCCCACCAGGTCCTCACACAGTCACCCCAGGGGTACCCTTAAGTCCCCAGCTCAGCAAGTTCCCCCCAGAGGCACTCTGGTTGGGGCTGAGAAAAATCTGAGGTTGGTCACTGTGACCTTGGGAGAATGGACGTGGTTAGGGACCACGGTAGACCAGACCAGGTCGCTGGCCCTTGGGACACTTGTTCTGGGGCATCCATAGAGCTCACCCCCTCACCTTTGAAAATCTTGGCTAGGTGTTACTTCATTGAGGACTGCTCTAGTGATTCTATTTAATACTCCAGGGCTGACATTGTGGCACAGTGGGTTAAACTGTCACTTATAAAGCCCATTTTCCAAAGGGTGCCGGTTTGAGTCCTGGCTGTTTCACTTCCAATCCAGCTCTTGCTAATGTGCCTGGGAAAGCAGCAAAATATGACCAAGTGCTTGGGTCCTGGCTGCCCATGTGGGAGACCCAGATGGAGTTCCAGGCTCCTAGGCTTCAACCTGGCACAGCTCCAGCCTTTGTGATCATTTGGGAAGTGATCCAGCAGAGGGAAGAGTTCTTCCTCCGTCTCTCTCCTTCCCTCTCTCCCTCTCTGTAACTCATCTTTTAAAATAGATACATCTTTATTTTAAAAGCCAGATAAAGTTCCACCTATCCCCAGGTAGGTGTTAGCCTAGCAGTTAAAATGCTGGTTGAAGCATATCTGAGTGCCTGGCACCTGGCATAATCTAGAAGTGTACAGATTCTGTTCCCACCTCCAGCTACTGGCTGATGCGAGCCCTTAGGGGGCAGTGGGAAGACCTTTGTGGTTACACTTCTACTGCCCCTGTGGGAGACCTGCATTGGGTTTCCTTCTTTGGCCTGACCCAGCGCCAGCCATGGAAGGCATTTGGGGAATGGACAAGAAGATGAAAGCTTTCTGTCTCTCACCTTTCAAATAAATGAACAGAATTTTAAAAAGTCTCCTATTCCCACTCCTAACCTCCTTAACCTTCCCACCTGTGGCTGTTTACTTCTCAGTGGCAAAGGGCTGCTGGTCTGACAGCCCCCTGACTACCACCCCATGTGCCAGCAGCCGGCAGGTGTCTGGCCAATGCTCGTATTGCAGGATGCAACTGCCTCACCTCTTGAGGGTCTTTGCAGATGTTCACGTGGAAGAATCTCTGCCAGGGAAATGGAGGGTATCAGGGTTCCAGGAAGCTGCCCTGGAGTGCTCGCGAGCCAGGGTCCCTTGGGGAAGCAGCTGGGTGGGGCTGGGAACCGGGTGAGGAAGGCAGGGGAGGGCTGCAGGCAGCTGAGCTGTTGTTCTACCTACCATCCTCTTGGACACACGCATCAGTTTAGCCCCGGGCAGGGCCCTCAGGCAGTCCACGAGGATCTGTGAGCTGTCTTGGCTGCAGCCAGCCAAGTGGGCAACCTTCTGTCGAGAAGAAAGGCGGGAGGGAGGGGTGGTGCTCTGGGATGTTCTGTACCCCTTGGCTGAGCCGTGCAGGAGGAGACACACCCACCTTGGCCACCTTCCATGGATTGTAAGTGATGAAGACTTTCATTAAGGCGGTGCCGCTCTGGGAAATGGCCCGATGGAAGAGGCCCTGGGCTAGGGGTGACATCATCTGTAGGGGTGGAGAGTGGGCACCCCCCCGAAGCTCACAAGCCAGCCCTCATGGCTGGGCGGCCTAAGCTGGAGTCCTGAACCTGAAGATGACACTTGGCTGCCTCAGGTCTGTGCTGTGGGGCCCAAGGGGGCTGTAGAGAATCCATGGGGAGGTAAGGGACTTCTGAGCTGCAGAAGCAGAAATGGGGGTAGTGGGATGTGTGCAGCCCCCATCCGAATGCATGGTCAGAGCATCCACCCTGGTGGGTGGGGAAGGCAAATCTACCGATGGGCAGCGGGATGACCACACAGATTGCACACGTGTCAGGGCACTCACCAGTCCCGAGATGCTAATCGCCCCTGACGACTGGCCAAACAGAGTCACGCTGTTTGGGTCTCCGCCAAATGCCTCAATGTTCTCCTTCACCCACATCAGAGCCGCCAGCTGGTCCAGCAATGCCCAGTTTCCACGGGCCTGGTTGTCACCCGTGCTGGGGGTGTGTGGGAGGGAGGGTGAGACTCAAGGTTAGGGTCCTGGACCTGGGTGGTTGGGGTGTGGAGGACTCTCCATCTCATTCCATCCCTGCCCTGTTCTGCCATGCCTCTTACGGACCAGGCTGGGCACCCAACTCCCTCCATTATTAGGACTTGCCTTCCAGCAAGGCGGAGTGTCAAGTTCACACTCTCTACCACCCCTTGCCCACACTCTGATGCAGCCCTGCCCACCTTAGGAAGCCCAGGATCCCCAGTCTGTGCTGCAGGAACACCAGCACCACTTTCTCACGGGCCGCCAGCTCTGAGCCCTCGTACGTGCTAGCAGAGCCCACGAGGAAGGCGCCTCCGGGGAACCAGACCATCACCTAGGTGGGCGAGGAAGACCCAGGTATGAATGAGGCGATGGCAGGGTGGGGCGCTGGGAAATGGCGCTGGCAGAGTGCGTCTGCGTGGAGGAGGACCGAGAACTAACTCACAGGCCACAGAGGGTCCCCGGGCGCGCGCAGCGGCGCGTACACATTCAGGTACAGACAGTCCTCGCTGAAGCGCAGCCACTTGTATCGCTTCCGTGTGTTAAAGTATATGGAGGCTAGCTGGCCCCAGGACTCCTGAAGGCACCTGCGGGGCGGCAGAGGCGGTAGGTGCTGCACAATTTCCTACGCACCCCCAGGGTCCACAGTGAGGCGGGAGCACCAAACGCAAGGTCTGGGCATTGTGTGTGTGTGTGTGTGTCCTGTTAGACGCCCTCCTCCGCACCCATCCCTCTTCCTTGCCTTAAAGGTTCACTCAGGAGGGAGTCCTTGCTCCAGCCAGGTGCTCTCCAGTCTAGAACAAGAATGCCTTGCACACATCCCCATCTTTCATGCCCCCACCCTCCACTCCTTGCCCATAACTGTTGCCCCATTCTGGCCATCACTGCCTGCGGTCTTCCGGACCCTGTCCCCACCTCTTCACTCTCCTTGTCCAGTACTCTAGCTGTACAGGTGGACACAAAGTCCCTGGCTCCCACCACCCTCAGGATAAAGTCTAGATTCACTCACCCTGACGGAGGGCCTCCTTTCCATCCAGTCCTGTCCTTCCCAGCACCCTTTGCTGGTCTCCCACCTCCCAGATGCCCGGTGCTGGTAGCCTTGCTGCCCAAAGCTGCACGCTCCGCCCAGCCAGCTCCTGCCCCTTGAAGTAACTGAGAACCAGGGCAGGTGGCGCCCTCTGCTGGGCATTCTGGTTCCCACTTCACACTGTAGTCCTCAGTAAAGTAGGGATTGGAGTTGTTTTTGAGTCCTGCCTCCCAGCCCAGCACCTTGTCCTGTGTGGCCGCTTGGAGAACTCATGGAGTTCTCTGGATGCCTAACCTTTTCCCCTGGGTTCGGGCTGCACCCTCTTGGTTAGGCTCAGCAAACCCTGCCTGCATGTTTCTTTGCCTTGCCAGCACAGTGTCTCATCCGACTGTGGTCTTCCAGAGCTGTCCCTGTCAGCAGGCTGGCCTCCCCTCTGCTCCCTCCCGACCGTCTCAGGTCACCTGGATGTAGTTGTCCTCCCCGCCCCGACCATCTCTCTGTCCCCACCCCACCACCAGAGCTACTCCTGTCCCGGTCACCTGTGACCTCCATATTGCCAAATCTCTCTTGTTGCCTTACTGGCCTGGCACCCTTCCTGTGGCCTCAGCACGCTGCCCTTCTGATTTAATTGTCCCTCTCTGGCTTCTGTGACACCTGTCTCCTTTGCTTTGCTTTCCCCCTCATTAGTGGTTCCTCTCGCTGTTCCTGGTGTCAGCATGGGAGAGCCCAGGCCACCTAGATCCTTGTTTCTCAGTTCTTTGGACTGTTTTTTTCTCCCAGAATTTTCTCACTGGGCCCTTGGGCTTGACGGATGTTGCTGTTACTGTCATGCTGATGGCCAGTTTGCTTCCAATGCCACATCTGCACACAGACATTTATTAACGCATCACACTCCACATGCCCCGAACTGAGCTTTGGTCCTTATCCCCACTCCCCGCTGCCAAAACCTGCTCCCTCCAGTGTCCCCTTGTGTCTTATATCTGTTCTTAGGCACCTAGGGTAATAGCTGTAGGATTTTGTTTTGTTTAGATCTTGGGCAACGTGCGTTCTCACAAGGTTTTTCTAAACCTTACACTTTGACTAGCTGATGCCCAACATCACTGGTGATCATCACAGAATGTTCTGGACAGATTACTCAGTGGTCTGAAGAAACAGTGGTATCCTTGGTCGGGGTAAAATGACCAATCCAGTCCTTCTAAGGACAGTCACTGGCTCAATCCTATGCACAGTGGGAGGTGGCGGCTAGCCCTGTGCATTTCCCATCCGGGCGCGCCCTGTGCAGGAACGAGCTGGTAAGTGCTTGGGCTCAAATCTATGGGGAGAGGCGGTGCTTGCAGCTGACTGAGCAGGTGGGGTCCCCTCTGCTCCTCAGCCGCCAGTAGGAAAACTTGGTTCCCCAGGAGGTCCTAGGACACAGTTCATGACCACTTCCCCCTCACTTGGTTATCTTTCCCATAGAAAAACGGAGAAAAGCATTTTCAGCCCCTTATCTTGCCTTCTCCATCAATCACCTCCTTGTGAAGTTTGAAACTGCCTGTCCATGGCAACAGCAGGTTCTCAGTGAACTGTTCCAAGCCCTCCCTCTGACGACGCCCCCTCCTGCCTACGTTCCTCTGGCTCTTACGAAGGCGGGTCAGTGGTGGCGTATCTGGTTCCTTTCCAAGGCTCTGGAGGTTCTGGGGGTGCAAATCTGCGGGCTCCCACAGGAGGTTTGGAGAAAGGAACTCCGAGGAAGACATGGATGGGCGTCCTGTACACGTACACCTGCTTCCCTCGGAGGGTCCCATATTTGGTGACCACTAGAGGTTTCTGGATGTGCCAGGCACCTGGGGAGAGAAGAGAGAAGTGGTCACCCTTGTACAGCCACTCACAGCCACAGAGACCCAGCTGCTGCTTTTTGTGACAATCAAAAAGTCAAGCTTTAAAAAAAATTTTGTTTTTAATTGGAAAGTCAGATATAAAGAGAAGAGGAATGACAGAGTGGAAGATTTTCCATCCGCAGATTCACTCCCTAAGTGTCCGCAATGGCCGGAGCTGAGCTGATCCGAAGCCAGGAGCCTCTTCTGGGTTTCCCAAATAGGTGCAGGGTCCCAGTGCTTTGGGCCGTTCTTGACTGCTTTCCCAGGCCACAAGCAGGAAACTGGATGGGAAGTGGGGCCACCGGGATTAGAACCAGTGCCCATATGGGATCCCGGCGCATGCAAGGTGAGGATTTTAACCACTCCACTATTGCGCCGAGCCTGACACCTCTTTTCCTGTGACTGACATTTGCCTGGCATATTTCTGGGCGGAAGTCACAAACATGTGCATTGTGACTCATGCACACATCCATACCCACATGTACATGCAATACATGCATGATTCATCAACCAAGAAAAACATGGAAACACAAGAGCCAGGGGCCTGCCCATTTGCACGCAGGCACGTTTGTACAGTATGGTCATACATAGATTACACATAGAGTACATGTGTTCAGTCCCACATCCAACACACACACACACACACACACACACACATGCACGTATGTAGTAAAGCCTGCCTGACCCTGGCTGGCTCTTAGAATAGATATGAAGTCGGACAAGTTGAAGCTGACCTCTGCCTGTGGCTCCTTCCTGAAGGGTCCATGTCTCCCCTCTTCCCCTACTGAAATGGAATTCTTCTGGGCCTCAGTCTTAGGAGGCTCAGTCTGTAAAATGACACAAAGCAAATCTGATCCAGGAATTAGTGCTCCTGGCTGTGCCTCAGAACCATCTAGAGATTGTCATAAAAACGCAGATTCCTAGGCCCCATTCACAGGACCATCTGAGAGCTGCATCAGATGGTCTGCTCTCTCCCGGAGATGTGGATGCACTTGGAGTTGGAAGGGACACTTGGCACTGGTGGGAGAGCGCATACCTTCATGCTGCCCACCACAGCTGGCCGTGTCAGTCTCCCTGCCCACATCCCGGGGCTCTCTGCCCATCTTCTGGAAGACTTCTCTGTGCATGTATTAGAGACCTCAGTGCTGGCCCTCTGGGCACAGAGATGGATCAACGGGGTCAAGGGGCCACCCGAGCTTCCTCTGTGTGGGCAGCTCTTTGAAGAAGGCAAAGCTTTCCCACACAGGCTTCTCACTGACCCAGGGGAGTCGGGAGGCCCAGGGGCCCAGCCGGGAGCAGCAAGCAGCCTGCAGTCTCCTAGGACAGAGCTAGGGGGCAGAGGTTTATCGGCTTCCTGCTGCTTTCCCTGGATCAGGGGCTACCCTGGATGGCATGGCCATAAGTGATGGTGGGTGGGTCCTTGTAACGCAGCACTAACACTGTGCTGCTTTCTTTGTAGCTTTCTAAAAACATGTAGGATGAGTGCTATTGTTGTAGTATAGTGCGTTAAGCTGCTACCTGCGATGCTGGCATCCTACACAGCGCAGGTTTGTAAATAAGATGCTCCACTTTTGAGCCAGTTCCCTATTAAGGTGCCTAGGAAAGCAGGGCAATTGGCCTGTGCTCAAGTCTTCAGGTCACTGCACTCATGTGGGAGACAGGAAGGAACTCCTGGCTCCTTGCTTTGCATTGGCCCAGCTCCGGCTGTTATGGCTATGTGGGGAATGAGTCAGTGGATGGAAGATCGCCCTGTCTCTCCTCTCTGTAACTTTGTCTTCCAAATAAAAATGAATCACTTAAAAAATAAAACAAGTATATCATAAACAAGTCTTTGATTTTTTTCTTTTAAAGCAAAGAGGCCTGGCGTGATGGCTCAGTTGGCTAAATCATCTGCCTTGCAAGTGCCAGGATCCCGTATGGATGCCGTGGTGGCCACTGATCTTTCTCTCTGTAAATCTGCTTTTCCAATATAAATAATCTGGTATTTTTTTTCTAAAGGAAAATCAGTTTTGACTTTCCTGGTGGTCATAAAGTGTTAATTAGAATCAGGAATTGTGACTTCTACCTAATAAAAAATCATAGCACTGGTTCTGATGAAGATAATGTCTTGAGAAGACAATTTGGCAACATATATGAATATGTGTTTGTATATAGCATTAAAATATAAAAATATGCATTATATATAAAACATATAGGATGCTAAAAACGTTCACATGCTTTCACTCGGTAATTTGACTTAGTCTTTCCCCTGTACGAATAGCAAAGAGTGTGGAGCAGGTGTTTAGCCTATTAAATAAAGGTGCTGGTTGAGAGTGTGGGTTCTGGGCCCAGTGCAATAGCCTAGTGGCTAAGGTCCTCGCCTTGCATGTCCAGGATCTCATATGGATGCCAGTTTGTGTCCTGGCTGTTCTACTTTCCATTCAGCTCCCTGCTTATGGTCTGGGAAAGCAGTCGAGGCCGGTTGGTCCAAAGTCTTGGGACCTGCACCTGCTGTGAGAGACCTGGAAGAAGCTCCTGGTTTCTGGTTTTGGATCAGCTCAGCTCTGGTCATTGCGGTCACTTGGGGAGTGAACAGCAGATGGAAAATCTTTCTCCCTGTATCTCCTTTTCTCTGTAGAAAAATGAATAAATCTTAAAAAAAAAAAAAAGAATGTGGCTTCCGTATTCAGCTGTGGCTGCTGGCTCCAGCCTTGTGCTGATGTAGACCCCGGCAGGCTGCAGGGATGGCTCGGGTATTTGGGTTCCTGCTATCCACATGGGAGCCCTGGATGGAGGTCCTGGACGCCGGCTTCCTGTTTTGGACATTTGGAGTGAAACAGTGAATGTGAGCTCTTTTGTTCTCTCTATTTCTCTGTTGCTGTCTCTCAAAAACAAAAACAAAAACGGGGTCAATGCAGTGGCATAGTGGCTGAAGCTGCTGCCCACAGCGCCGGCATTCCAAGCGGGCCTCACAGTCCCGGCTGCTCCACCTCTGATTCAGTTTCCTGCTAACGTACCTGTCAAACAACAGGAAGTGACCCAAGTCATCTAAGGGCCCCTGCCGTCCACATGGGAGACCTGGAAGAAGCTCTTGGCTTCGGACAGGCTCAGCTCCAGCAGTTTGGGGAGGGAACCAGCGGATGAAAGATCTCCTCTATGCTGTATCTTCGCACTTTGCCTTTCCATAAATAAATAAAACAAATTTTTGGAAAAGAAGAAAACCAAAAGAATGACTTCTGTATCATCACCTACACCCCGCGGGACTCTGGGAAGCAGGTGTGTACCTGGGAACAAGCAAAGTGAACCTGACTAAAGCAAACTGCAAACAGCCTTTGGTGAGATTCTGAATAATTAAAAAAAAGCCAAGTATGAATTGCGTGCATGCTAACATTGCAGCTACGTACAATTATACAACAAAAAGTTTTTTTTTAATGCACCGGAAAACTGAAAGCAGCATTAGCAAAGTTTCCTTCACATTAAAAATCAAATATTTACGTAAACAAAAGTGATTCTGATTACAAGGGTCATGTTGACTGTGGTGGACACACAGGGAGCTGGCATGCCCTAGGTTTTGATCTGGATGGTGGCTTCATAAAATACATAGTTGTATAATTAACACAATATCCTCTCCCCCACACATAATGGTACAGGTGCTGTGTGTGCGTCTTGTATGCATCTTCTAGCGCAACAAGCTTTTGTAAGAAGTGTTACTTTTGGGCCTGGTGTGGTAGCCTAGTGGCTAAACTCCTTGCCTAGCATGTGCCAGGATCCCATATGGGTGCTAATTAATATCCCAGCTGCTCCATTTCCCATCCAACTCCCTGCATGTGGTATGGAAAAGCAGTAGAGGATGACCCAGTGCCTTGGGAACCTGCACCTGTGTGGGAGACCCGGAAAAGGCTCCTGGCTTTGGATTGGCTCAGCTCCGACCGTTGTGGTTACTTGAGGAGTGAACCAGGGAATGGATCTTTCTCTAACCCTAACTCCTTTCTCTGTATATCTGACTTTCCAATGATTAGAAAAAAAAGACATGAACTATTTAAAAAGAAATAGTGTTACTTTTAAGAAGAAAGAAGACACTAGGGAGAAACTGGCAGGTAGTCAAGAGGCCCCTGAGGGAGGGGGAGACAGCAGCAGAATGCCTGTTTGGGAGGGAGAATGAAGGGAAGCTGTGGACCCCCTCCCCGGTCCAGGAGCCAGTCCTTGCGAGTCTCACTTTGTACCGCAGCCCTGTGGACTCCTAGCTAGGGGTGATCGCGCCAGGAATGCCCAGCACTTGTCTTTGTGCCATGCCCTGCTGTCCCCAGGAGGGGTGAGCTTGGGTCCCAGTACCTCTCTGGCCTGGCCCCTTGATGGGGGTTGGGGTGGTGTGGAAGGGCTGAGGGACTTACCCAGGGCTGCCTGCTGTACCAGGCAGACGGCAAGGAACAGGCCCTGGCTCCACTTCATGCTGTGGCGGCTGGCTCCTGCCACAGGCTGGAGTGCTATCAAGGCTGTGGGTGTCAGATGGTAGCTGTGAACACCAGCCAGCCCCGCTTTTTATCTTAATCCGTAGGCGCTTGGGTGGGAGGAATCAGGATCAGCTTCTGTCCAGCCCACAGCCTTGTGCTGCCTGCGGGTGACAGGTGATGCTGGCTGGCTGTGACTCCGCCGGCCAACTGGCCAACCTGCAATCCCTGGTTGGCTTACCTGTACTGTGGCCTGAAGGTGGACGAGTGTGAATCAGGCCCTGCGCACACAGCAGGTGCTAAGAGGAGAGCTTTGTGGACTGGCAGTGTGTCGGGCCTCCTTGTTCCCTCATGCTTGGTCCAGATTCTTCTACTGCCACGTCTCTGCCCTTCTTCACTGGGACCATCAGGGAGCAGGTGGGTGCGGGGCCTGGCCTGAGAAATCAATATGGCAGCCGCCCTCACTGGCTAGTGGCTTGGTGTAGGGGAGCAGACCTGGGGGCAAGCAATCTCCCAGGCTCCCAGTCCAGATGCAGGAACCCCACAGCGGGTAGAGGGAGGGTGCAGTTCCCTTCCTCTCCCTGGCTCCTGGGGAGGTCTGAGGTTCTGGCCCACCTCTGGGAAAAAGGGATCAGGGGACTGCAAGGTCGGGTCGGGGCAGCTCTGCCTCTTGTTTTATAGGCCTGGTGGATGCTTAAAGTATTCTCCTCTCACAGTTTTGGGGGCCTTCAGAGCAAGCCCTTATTGGGACCCTGCTCCCACAATGACCATTCTTGTAACCCTGCCACAACCCCCAGGGGTGTGGAATTTCTACCCAGTCATTGCTGCCTAGGTTCTAGGTACTTCTAAAGCAAACCCACGCCAGGCCCATGGTGACCCTTGGCTGTCCATCCTGTGGGATCTACACAGGTGAGCCCTGCCCTGGCCCTGGCCCAGCAGGGGTGTGGCTTATCCACTGCAGCCCCCTCTGTCCCACCCACTCCGACAGGGCAGGGCTGTCCTTTCGCGAGCTCAGGCTCTGCCTGGCTGAGCACCCCGCGGTGGGCAGCCTCCCTCACTCTTCCCCAAGATCTCCTGAAGAAGCTGCCCATGACCCTGAGTGGAAGGAAGTGGGTGAGAGGCAGTGGTTCTCTCTGAAACAGTCCATCCCCAGCTTTCTCCCAGCTCAACACCCTAATCCAGGATCCAGCTGGAATGTCCTGGTGTGTGTGTGTGTGTGTGTGTGTGTGTGTGTGTGTGTGTGTGTGTGTGTGTGTGTGTGTGTTTGCGCGCGCTGGGATTGTGGAAATTGTTCTAAGATCTTTTTCCAAAAATCAAACAAGCAACAACAACAACAACAACAACAACAACAACAAAGCATTCATAGTGATGTGGCTTGGAAACCTCATATCCCCTACATTTTGGGGTCTGAAAGGTCACACTCAGGGTCCTCCTCCCCATCACCCCTTCGCTGTTAACAAAGCAGGTGGCTTTGGTCTTCCATGGCAGGTGTGTGGATGACATAGCCTTTCCCAAAAGTGATTGAACCACATGGAGCAAGAGCCTTAAACTTGCCTGCATCCTTTGACCGAGAAGTTTGGGCCGGGAGGCCATCCAAAACACACAGAGAGCTGTTTACCTTGGTGTCCTGAACCTTGTTGACAACAGCCTCACCCCTACACAAGTGGAAGGGATGGTTGAGGAAGGGACATGCTGGGGCGGCCAACTCACCAAGCAGTACATTTTGGACAGTGTTCTGCTCCTTGCTGGATGTGTGACCCTCACCAAAAATAAAAAAAAAAAAAAAATTAAGTTGATTTATTTATTTGAAAGGCAGAGAGAGAGAGAGAGAGAGAGAGACAGAGAGAGAGAGAGGGAGAGAGAGAATCTTTCACCTGCTGGTTCACTTCCCAGATGGCTGCAATGGCCAGAGCTGGGCAGGGGTGAAGCCAGGAGCCAGGCGCAGGTGTCCCATGTGGATGCGGGGCCCAAGCACTGAAGCCATCCTCTGCCCATTTCCCAGGCTGTAAGCAGGGAGCTGGATCAAATTGGAGTAGCTGGGACTTGAACCAGAGCTCATTTGGGATACTGGTGCCACAGGTGGTAGCTTTACTTGCTATGCCACAGTGAGGACCAGCCACCCCAGCCAGCAGCCTGGAACCTTTTCTGGGTCTCCCATGCGTTGGCAGGGCCCCATCCATTGCCTCTCAGGATGCACATTAGCAGGGACTGGGAATCGGAAGCCAAGCCAGGACTTGCATCCAGGTACTGCGATAAGGAATACGGGCATTCCAAGGCGCGTCTTACCATTGTGCCTGCCTCTTAGTGTGTGATTTAAAGGGGGCTGGGACGAGACCACTTGGAGGGGTGGCCTGGACCATAACCCTCTCTGCTGACTGTCTTCCTTGTTCCCCTGGCCTCCTCTGGGCTGGGGCAGCATCAACAGGATTATGGAGCCTGGACCCTGGGAGGTGGGGCTGTTGCTGGGGCTGCTGCCCAGGCTCTGACAGGCTTCACCAAGCACCCTGAGTGTGTTCCCCATGGCAGGAGCCAAGCAGGGGAAATGGGGTGGGGAAGACCAGCCAAGGATGCAACTCCACCTGCCACACCTGGGGACCAGCCACGAGGGACTTCCCCATCCTGCTGGGAGCTTCCTGGGTCAGTTCTGTGTGGGCTTCAGGGACCAGGCCTGTCAACAGCTGCCTCCACACTCATCACCTCTCCCAGAAAGCGACAACCTTTCACCTGGCCTTGATGGGAACGCTGTGCACCAGGGTGTTTATGGGTTCCGTCTGGGGCTCACACAGGATTTAGCGGTGCTGCCTCTTTGCCTCCTCTGTAACCCTTTCGTGTAAAATTAACAATTCTTTCTAAAAATTAAAAAGAAAGAAAATTGTGGGCAGGTGTTTGATGAAACCACCACTTTGGAGGCCTGGAGCCTTCCCTGAAGTGCCAGAGTTTGAGTCCCTGATCCTGAGCTCTGCCTCTGATCCTGAGCACCCAGGGACCCAGCAGTGACGGTTTAAGTACTGGGGGACCTGGCACCCATTCATGGGGAGACCTTGGTGGAGATACAAGCTTTCAACCTTCAGCCTGGCTCAGCCCTGGCTGCTGCAGGCATTGGTGGTGGGGGGAGTAATCCAGAGGATGGAAGATCTCTCTTTCTCTCTCCCTTGCAAGTAAAATGAGAACAAACAAACAAACAAACAAACAAATAATATTGTGAGAAAATAAAGAATCTGTAAAATAAATGGGAGAACTTGCTATCCCCATGGATTAGGTGGCTTAATTCAGTGCAGATGGTGATACTCCCAAATTGAGAGGGCCAATGGCCTTTTTCTTTTCCTTTTGTTAAGGATTTTCTCTTTGTGGCCAGTGTGATGGCTCAATTGGCTAATTCTGTGTCTGCAAGTGCTGCCATCCCAAAGGGACTCCAGTTTGTGCCCTGGCTACTCCCTGTCCCATCTAACTCCCTGCTTGTGGCCTGGGAAGGCAATAGAAGATGGGCCAAAGCCTTGGGACCCTGCACCTGTGTGGGAGACCCGGAAGACGCTCCTGGCTCCTGGCTTTGAATCATTTCAACTCTGGCAGTTGGCAGCCATTTGGGGAGTAAACCAGCAGATGGAAGATCTTTCTGTCTGTTTTTCCTTATCTCTGTAAATCTGCCTTTCCAATGAAAACAAACTTTGAGGAAAAAAAGATTTTCTCTTTGAGTCACAGAGTATGTAAATTTAAAAAAATTATTTACTTTTATTTTTTAAAAAGATGTATTTATTTGGAAGTCAGAGTTACATAGAGAGATGGAAAGACAGTGAGAGGGAAGGATCTTTGACCTGCTGATTCACTCCTCAGAGGGCTGCAATGGCCAGAGCTGGGCCAAGGAAGCCAGGAACTCCGAGCTTCTTCTGGTCTCCCACACGCAGAGCAGGAGCTCAAACACTTGGGACATCCTCAGCTGCTCACTCCAGGTCATTACCAGGGAGCTGAATAGGAAGTGCCACAGCTAGTCCTTGAACCAGCACCCTTACGGAATTCCAGCTCCATAGGCAGCAGCTTTTTTCCATTAAGCCACAGCGCCAATCTCTATTTGATTTGTTTAAAGGGTACACACAGAGATGGAGATCTCAACTGTTTGTTCAGTCCGGAAACGTACATGTACGGACTTGTTCCCTTGTCATTATCCCTAGACAATAGTACAACCGTTGACTTAACACTCACAGTTGTTTAAATATTGTTTTAAATAGTCTAAGTAATCTAGAGACGACTTAGGTGTGTGGGAGAGGTCTTGGGGCCGCATAAAGCTGCTGGGCACACCTGCATCCCTTATCCGAGGGCCTGGCTTTGGGTCCCAGCTCCACTTCCAGTTTCCTGTTAACATTGAAAAAAAAAAAAAAGTGGGGGCCCCTGGCACGATGACTTAATGGCTAAAATTCTCACCTTGCAAGTGCTGGGATCCCATATAGGTGTTGCTCCACTTGTCATCCAGCTTCCTGCTTATGGCCCACAGTTTGCTGCAGAGACACATGCAGCCGGCAGTGGCAGGGTGTTGGAACCCGCTGCATGCTGTCCGAGGCTGGTGTTGCGGTCTCTGCCCCCTTGCCTGTGCTGAGGGTCACCTGCCCCGACAAGCTCCAGCAACACGGTTCAGGTGTTCCTGCCTGTTCCTGCAGCGCCCCCTGGTGCTCACGCTGTTGCACTGCACACACGGCCCTTGTGGTGGCCCTGCCGCGTGCAGGTTCCTAGGGTCCACCAGTCGCTGCCCTGCTCGGCACGCTGGCACCTGCTGGATCTGTGTCTTGCTCCTTTCAGCTCTGCACAGCTGCTTCATGGATCCTGTGGGCAGGGCATCAGTTCTTCCAGGACACCTTGGCTGGCAGATGGAGAGTCTCCAGCGGGTTTTGGGCCAGGGGCAGGGGAGGAGGGAATAGAGAAGTGAGAAGCTTGGAAATCTTCCCTCCCCAAAACCCAGTGCTGCCGCAGAGGCAGACATGGTGCCAGTCCTTACTCTTGCTCCTTGTATGGGGGACATCTGACACGAGACGGGGCGGGATGAGACCTCATCAGGGATGAGGCATCACACGCGGTTGACTTTCTCAGCTCTCTGCCGCCCTCTAGTGTACACCCTCGGTAGCCCCCTTTCCCGTGACCTGCTCTGGGCTCATTTCAGCACCGCCCACCGTGCGGCCCATTACCTCTGCTGTTCACGCCCACCCACCAGCTCCCAACCTGCTTGTCCCGCTTTGCTGACCCTCAAGGCTCCATACACCTGACTGTTGGGACCCTGATGGAGGAAATTGATGAAGACAGGGAGGTCTTTTATGCCAAATAAAGAGCTTGAACTTGTTCCAGAGGGAGACCGAGAGTCACTTTTTATTTAAAATTTAAATTTATTTATTTAAAATGTTTGTTACCTAGGAGAAGGGCTTGCAAGTCCATGTCGATCTCCGGGTGGGATGGGAAGGGATGGGGGGAGGTGGGTGAGGGAAAAGACCCCACCTTCCTCCTGTGACTGTGTTGGGAGGACATGGGGGGTGCACTGCTCCTTGCTATCAGATCAATGTGAGCTTTTTTTTTTCTTTTCAAACTATGAGAGAGAGAGATCCTCCATTCATTCTTCCACTCCCATTAATGCCTACAATAGCTAGGGATGAATCCAGGAGCTCAGAAGCCACATCTGGGGCTCCCATGTGGGTGGTAGGGACCCAAACACCTGAACCACCCACCCTCTGCTGCCCCCCAGCGTACCCAGGAGGTTGTATAGGAAGTGGAGGAGCTGGGACTTGAACCAACCTCTCTGCTAGGAATGTGGGCATTCCATCCCACGCAGCTACTTACTGTCACCCTACAGCAGTGCCTCCTGGCACTGGGGCGGGACATGTCACCATGTCCCTCTGTCACCATGTCCCTCCTTCCTGCCAGGTGGACTTCCCATATAGGACCAGTCCCAGGCGCAAACTCCTTTTCTGTTTCCATTGCCCATGAAGACGGTGATGTAACCAAACAAGGACCCGTGTGGGGCTGGAGCTGGTGGGATGGGGTGGTGGGGGCAGGGAAGACATTGCCACATGTCCCACTCCAGATGTTTGAGAGGAGTGGGAGGAGCATTGCCCCACTCCCCTCAAACATCTGGCTGCTTTGCACTTTTTTTTTATCATCAGTAGTTTTAAATATTAATGAACAGGTGGATTTGAAAGCCAGAGCAACACAAAGAAAGCTGGTGAGACCCACACAGAGAGGAAGAGAAATCTTTCCCCGGTGGCTTCACTGTCCCAGTGCTGCAACTACCCAGCCAGGGCCAGGCTGGACCAAATTTGAGCCAGGAGCCGGGAACTCTATCCTGGTCTCCCACACGTGCGCAGTCATGAGCAGGAGGCAGGAGGATTGGAAGTAGAACAGCTGGAACTCAAACCAGCGCTCCCATAGGGGATGCCGGCATAGCAAGCAGTGGCTTAACTCACTGAACCTCCAGGAGCAGGCCTGCTTTTGTGCTTTATAACCTGAGTGGCAGACATGCTGACTTACAATTCATCTGTTCTCGCCCCTTGCACTTGTTCTATGTCCTTCTGGGCGTCCTGAGAAGCTGGGATGAGTGCCCCCAAAATTTGTTCCCCCTGCTACCTTCCATTGGACGACCCCAGGCACGAGGGTGGGAAGCACATACAGCAGGGCCCTGGGGTCACAGGGCTTTGACTGGTGAAGTCCAAATCTGGTAATTGCATCTGTTCTGTCTCGTACAGGTGGCCAGATGATGCCAGATGCTGGCCAGCTGCAGCCTGTGGTGTCTGGGGTTGGGATGGGGGCCCCAGGAGTTCTCCACTTCTTCGCAGGAAGCCTGGCGTCCTGGCCAGGGCAGACCGTGTCTGTGGCAGACTGGCTATGACGTTAACATTGAAGGGCCTGAGTCCAGCAGCCATGGTCCCACATAGTCCATCTGTAACTCACCAACACCCCCGATCCCATTCCAGATCCTGCCCCATCGTGGTGTGAGGGACGGAAGGACCCTGGCCTCCACGCTTGGAGGGCTCCTCCACAGGAGAGAAACACAGTGTTAGGCCAGGGTGGAATGTCTTCTATGTCTATGACAGGGTACCACAGGGCCCAGGGAAGGCAGGGCAGGCTCCCTGGCGAAGAGGATCTTCTGGGCATCTTGAAGAATGAGCTGGAATTTGTCCTGAGGCCAGAGAGGCAGGGGGAGGGAGGAGTCTGTGTGCAGGCAGCTACCTGACCGCTGGCACTGGGCCCCACTCACAGCTCCTCCGGGGGCTTCTTGCCCCTCTGCTTCTGGCGCCACTGTCGGATCTTGCTGGGGAGTGTCTGTCTCCAGAACCGCATGTGGGCCTCCCGGGGCTTCTGCCTGACACGCGACACTAGGCCAATCTCCAGGTACTGCTCCGATTGGTTGAACTGGGGCCAAAGAGGCAGCCCCTGGCCGTTGGGGTCCCTGGATGGGAGAGATGAATGTGGATCAAGATCTCCTGTGCTGTCTGCTGGGCATATCTCTGTGTTCGGTTTTCATTCTTACCCTGTCCTGGCAAAGTGGGCCCACTGGGCCATCATGGTGAGGCTGAGTTGTTTCTCCTCCTCTGTGGCTTCTGGGAAGGCTGGTGGGATGGACAGGGCCAGATCAGGGTCAGGTGGGATCTTGGGCACTGGACCCACATAGCTATTCTTATGGCCTGCCTTATCCCCCTGGGGCAAGGTAGCCTAAGGGAACAGCTGTCAACCTGCTTGTTCATCCTTACCCAGCTGGGAGCCCTCATCCATGAGGAAGGGTCCCCCGAACATGAAGGCACTTTCAACTGCGTGGTCAGCTCGTACCCAGTCTGGTTTGATCTTTGCAAAACAGCTGGGGCGATGCTGGAACTCATAGAAATAAATGGGAGCCCCGGAATCTGCAGGGAGAGAGACAGTGAGCAAACGAAACAGGTGAGCATTAGCCTCCCAGGGCCTGATAGGCTCTTGTGCTTGGCATCACAGCGTTATTAAAGATGTATTTATTTTTAAAATTTTTATTGGAATGTGAGATTCACAGAGAGGAGAGATAGAGAGAAAGATCTTCCATCTGCTGATTTACTCCCCAAGTGGTCTCAATGGCTGGAGATGAACTAATCTGAAGCCAGGAGATACGAGCTTCCTCTGGGTCTCCCATGGGGGTGTAGGGTCCCAAGGCTTTGCACCATCCTCAACTGTTTTCACAGGTCACAAGCAGGGAGCTGGATGGGAAGTGGAGCAGCTGGGATACCAGCCAGAGCCCATATGGGATCCTGGTGCATGCAAGGTGAGGATTTTGACCATTAGGCTACTGCACCAGGCTCCAGTGTCACAGGATTGTAACAAAGTGGTCCCAACTGCCGGTGATGATGGCAATGACAGATGCAGTTAGGAGTCAGCCAGTGGGCACTGAGCCCTGTTCAGTGCACCCCGTGTGTGATGGCTCAGGTCATCCTCATGGTGACAACCCAGAGCCCAAGGCCACAAGACCTTTCTCTCCAGAGCAGCACACCCTGGGTGAGGACAAAATCACTTAACGCTTACACGAACCCCTCAGAGCAGGGTTGGGTGCTCTGGCGTGACCTTGGACATGCCACCCCATCTCTCAGAGCTGATTTCTGCTTCTGCAGAGTGATCTGCTAGGGATGGCTTTCACAGCTGCGGTGCAACCACTAGCCAAGGAGGAAGCTTTGGGGCAGCTCCTGGTGTGGAGAGCGAGGTGTGGGTTGGAGGAGGGGGAGAACTTATCCCCTATGACAGCCTGGCCACCTGTGATGTCCCAGCTCTTGCTCTGAGGCAGGAAGTAGTCAGGGACAGGCTTACCTTGGAGATTTCTTGAGAAATTGAAGACAGGGAAGTAGATGAGCATGTCGCCGATCATGTCCTGGAAGGCGTGGCGCCTGGCCTGTGCATCTGAGGCCCTGTCTAGGTATTCGTCTATGATGGTTGACATCAGCTCAGGGGGCACGTCCTGGGGCAAGCAGGCAGGGATGAAGGCTGCTCTGGGTCTGGAGAAGACCTTTGCCAGGAACCCCCCAGGGCCTCCTGCATGGATCATGTTCCCGGGGCCAGCTCCCTGCCCTGGCCCTCCTTTGCAGAAACCCCTGGGACTTTTAGAAGGTTTCTAGGTGTGATCAGATGGGGTTTGGAGTCAAATCTGAGCCATAGGACCACTTCTTGGCTATGTGACCTCAGGGTAGGTGGTTGACCCTCTCTGAAAGTTGGTCTGAAGTTGTATGAATGGAGAGGTTGCCAAAGCGTCCCAATGCAGCAAATGTGCATAGACGGAGACCCTCCTGGATTCCTGTTTCCTACGAGATTCTGCAGACTTAACATCCAGCTTCCTTCAAACTGCTTGAAGTCATTACCATTTACAGCAGAAGACATGGGCTCAGGGTGGGTGGAATAGCTGAGCAGGTGGCCAGGGCCGAGACTGGGGCTGGTTCCATCTGGCTCTACATCTGACAGTAGTATATCAACTACTGAGGCACTGGGGCCATGTAGAGAGGGCTCAAGCTGAGTCTGTACCTCAAAAGCTTATTCAATGAGAACAAGGCAAGCCTATAGCTCACAGAGTCCCATTGAGGACAGAAGGGGATGGCTGCCTGTCCCAGGGCTCACACAGGAAGTGCTCACCAAGGGCACTTTCAACCGGTGATGATGAGGAAGATTACTGTTTTGACTTATGCTCTTGGGGGTTCCTGGGCAGACTACAAACTGGGTGGTGGGTGGGAGGCCTTGGGCTGGGGGGGATCCATGCCCACCGCCCTCCAGCCCCCCTCTTCTTATCTCACCAGATAGGTCAAGAAGGGCTTCGCATAGGACAGCATTTCCTCTCGGCTTAACTGTTCCAGCTTATCCAGCAACCCCCAGGCCTGCAGAGACACCAAGACCCTTTCACTCCAGCCTGCCCACCCTCCCCAACCCCACTCCCATCCCTGGACCCTGAAATTTGTTATGGAGGCAAGTGTGGCTAAAACCACAGGCCTGCCACCTGAGAAGATGGACCTTCAGTTTGCAGCATGTGTGCTGGGCTGGGCTGGGGGTATCTGGGGACCGCAGAGCCAAATTCCCCAGGGCACAAGGCCAATAGCAGCTCTGTAGAGAATGGGCACTTGTCTCAATATTTACAATTTTTACTTAATTATTATTTTCATGCTATTCGAACGGTAGGTTCTCTCTCTCTCTTTCTCTCAACACCTTTCTTTGCTGCAAAAATTGACAACTGAAGTTGTCAATTTCTGAAATGCAAGGGGTTAAAATGACAGTTACAGGGGCTGGTGGTGTGACGTGTCATGTTAAGTTTGCCTGTGGCATGAGCATCTCAAATGAGTGCCAGTTTGAGTTCTGGCTGCTCCACTTTCAATCTAGCTCCCTGCTAATACATCTGGGAGAACAGTGGAGGATGGCTCCTGCACCCACGTGGGGGACCCAGTTTCAGACCCCTGGCTCCAGCCTGGTCCAGCCCCAGGGGTTGCAGCCATTTGGGTGAACCAGCAGATAGAAGATCTGTTTCTCTGCTTTTCAAGTAGCATGAAAATAAATACGAGTTCAGAAGCAGTTACTGTGAACATGGGTGAAGGAGGAAGAGCAATATAACAAGAGTCTCAGTAAGAAAGCATGGGCTTGATCTTGTATGGAATTCTGGGAGAGGTAGGAAGATGAACTTGGCCCATGAGGCCCTGGAATCTGAATGCTGTCCAGAATGTGAGAATGTCAGATAGATTGTCATTGGGTGCAAAGTCACAGTAATCAGAGTCACAGAGCCTGATGTATAAACCAAGGGATGCCGCACATTCTGTGCAAACGCTCAATTCCCAAGCAGAAGGTGCTTGTCTGAGACCTTTAATGAGTCCCTTAAACCTCGAATTGGAGTCCAGGAGCAGGGTGTGATGGTGCTGGGACAGGGCCCTTGACTGGAGGACGCTTACCCTGGGGATGAGCCAGCCAAACTCGTGATTGTTGATGCCCAGGAGGAAGGGCACGGGGCGGAACTTCTGGTCTTGCAGGAGCTCCTGGGGATTTTGAGGGAAGAAGACGCCATCAACTGTGCAGGTGGAAAAACTCTGCAGGACAAAGCAAAGGTGGTGGAGTCAGGAGGTGGTGTTCACCAGTTAGACTGAACCTTGAGGATGGGGCTTCAGTCCCCCAGCCTCTTGCCTGAATGGTTGAGGCCTGAAGGAAAGAGAAGGGGGTTGTGTCATAGCGTTAGGCAGCTCCAGAGATCTGAGCAGGTGTCTTCTGGGGAAGGCAGGTCCTGCTCCCTGTTCCTACCCTTAGGCCTGGCTGCATCCTCAGTCCCTTCCCCCTCGGCTCCCGCAGGAGCTGGACAGGATCGTCTCTGGGCTGCTGAGGTCCCTGGGAGGTGAGGCAGGTGGGCGTACCCCAGGCTTGGACGAAATCAGCTCCTTTCCTTCCTTCTGCCTCAGACACTCGAGCATCTCAGCCGGGGAGGTGGAGCTGCAGGCCAGGGACTTGGCCGTATTCTGGGGAGGACAAGAACAAAAGGGCCATGTCAGCCTTTCGGCCCCCACCACCCAAGCCAGTTGCCTCAAATGGAGCGGGACCTTGATGTCACACACTGGCCTATACCTGGTCTCTGTACCACCCCAGGGGAGTCTACCCTGCTCCATCAGGGGCATCCTGTGTGTGTGTGTCTCCCTTACTACCCCCCCTTACAGCAGCTTTTGGGGATACGATCTTTATTCTGCTCCTGGGGTTCTCAGAGAGTGTGTGCAGAAGGAGGGAGCCTAGCAGGGATCACAGCATGTCCTGGGTGGGGGTTCATGAGTCCATGGGAGATGAAGCTAAAGAGATAGCTGGTGGTCTCTCTTGCCCAGACTTTGTCTTGGCCATGTCCTTCGCTTCATGTGAAGCTTCCAGGATTGCCACCTCCTGCTCACCTTTCACGCCAAGTGATGCAATCGGTCAGTGCCCTGCTTCTCCCCACCCCTGGGGGGTTGTCTAGCTCCCCAGGTACTGCCTCTCACTTCCCTGGGGCTTCTTACTTCCTATTCTGTCCCTAATCTGCTCCATTCTCTCGGATGGCCGCTTCTAGGACCTACCACTGCACCTTTCATCTGCAGCTGTTACAGGTACAGTTTTCATTCTGAGGCCTTCTGAGGCCCCCGTGGCTATTCCTTTCATGGCCAGCTGTATGATGGGAGTCTTTGGGTGGAAATACACAACCTGACAGGCAATTTCTCAGGGGTGCTCTCGAAGACCCTACCCTAATGGTCTGCTTGGGGGTGGCCACCTCTAGGCAGCCCTCTGATTGTCTGTCCACTGGACTGTACCAGCTGTCTGTCCACCAGACTGTACCAGCTGCTTCCTCTGAACTTTCCATAGGTGATGCTGCCTTCATCCTAGTGGATCCCTCTCTGCCAACCGGGAACCCTGTACCAGTGACCTCCCCCACTTTGGGGGCTCCAGAATGGGTTGGGGATAAGGTAAGAGCATGAAGGACACACAGACCTGAGCTTTAAGCCACGGGTCCAGGTCTATCAACCTTGGAATGCTGATAACCCCACTCTGGGCAATGGCTCTGTGGAACAATCCTGTGGCCATGGGAGACAGGACCTGTGTGCAGAGAATAGATGGCTCTCAGAGGACAGGGCTGATATGCAGGGGCATTCCCCTCCTACTGGGGCTGCCCGTGGCTGCTTACCAGAGCCGAGACGATGCTGGCCCCTGCAGAGCCGCCAAAGATGGTGATACAGTCACGATCCCCTCCAAAGGAGCCGATGCTGCCCTGCACCCAGCGCAGAGCTGCCACCACATCCAGTAAGCCCTGGTTGCCAGGTGCGTGCCTGTCCCCAGTGCTGGGGACAGAGGACGGTGGCGGTCAGCACAGGCAGGCCCCCTTGCCCGCATGTTCCTCAGTCTTTGAAGATTTGGGCTGCTTTGAATTGCCACCAGGATGGACATCTGACCCACAGCCGGCCCCAGGGTCAGGCTTGACTCTGAGCCACCATTGTAATCTATGTGGCCAGGGTGGCTTATTGGGTGGTTGGAACTTATTTACTCCTTGGCCTCATTCCCCACTGCGTTCCTGGCTGCGTCCCAGCATGCAACACCCTGCCCAAGGGGCCCAAGTTCACTGTGCAATTGTGGCCTTGGCCAGGCTCCTCCCCCAGGAAGGAGTCTCGGGAAAGCACCATTCTGCCCTGCTCCCCTCCAACTCTTTGCCTGGGTTCTCTCCTGCGTGTTGAGCCTGTGCTGGGCTGGGCCTGCTAACTCATCTGAAGAAGCCGAGGATGCCCAGACGGTACTGGACTGTGACCACCACCACGTCTCCATAGGCAGCCAGGGCTGAGCCGTCCTGGGATGTGGCTGAGCCAACCACCAGGGAGCCCCCGTGGATCCACACCATGACCTATGGGGACAGTAACTTCAGCTACCCCCTCTCCACCAATCAACTCATGGGGCCTCTGGGGAGGGAAGGAAAGGCTGGGCAGGTGGGAGCTAGACAGGCAAACAGGGCCCCTTGTGGCTACGCACTGGCCTCCCGGTCCCAGTGGCAGCCTCGGCGGGGCTGTAAATGTTGAGGGTCAGGCAGTCCTCTGAGATGGGGAAGACATGATGCTCTCCATTGACTGTGAATCTGCCATTGTTCATTCTCTCCACATCCTGCAGGCACCTGCAGCCAAGGCAAAGCTGAGGACCAGCCGCTCAGCCCCATGATGTCCCATCACAGGACCCCGCCAACCGTCTGCCTTGTTACTCACATGGGGGGTGCATGACTGGCATCCCGCACACCCTCCCAGGGCTGGGCCGGGAATGGGGCTGAGAACCGGATGTGTCCCACTGGGGGCTGGGCGAATGGGATGCCCAGGAAGACATTCACCAGGCGGTTTGTGCCCTTCACGGCCACTTGCTGGCCTCGCAGCCGGCCAAGAGGCGTGTCCACTTCTGGCTGAGTGACTTGTGGCTCTGAGGGAAACATAGGAGACCATGGGGTGAATGTACAGCCCCCGTGAGGTCGAGGTGAAAAATGGACTCTTGGTGCAAGGAGAGGCCACTTATGCACCCAGGGTGCCTATTCTGCCAGGCTCTTGGCACGAGGCACTGTGGTGGAGCCTTCCCAGCAAGCTTTAAGCCCAGTCTGGGGTTCCTGGCTTCTCCATGGGCTCCACATTCATCACCACCATTTCCTCTAGACCAAACTGCATCTGCCAGGGGGATGGGTACTGGGGCCTCAGATTGTTCGTCTACTGAGGTCTGATAAGTGTCCTTTATTTCTAACTTCTAAAGCTTTGACATTGAGGGTTTTGCTAAACTTGATGAGCTGCCTCTCCCAGAGCTGTCAAGCCCTAGAACTGGGAAATCTGGCATTGCACTGGACTAGGGCAGTGGGCAGAAGTGGGACAACAAGGCTTTCAAATGCAAATAAATTCACAGCTACACCCCAGCTGCCCCCTCCTTCATGGGTTTGCACACATCTGCCTGCCGTTCACCTGCCCTCACCACTTCAGGGCCAAGGCAACTAGGGACAGCTCCTATGCCCCAGAGCTGGAAATTTCCCATTAGCCAATCCAAAGCCTGTGTGTGTGTATGTGTGTGTGTGTGCATGCATGCGTGTGCAGAGCCTTCCCCAGTTCCACATTTTCCTTGGGGGCTGTCTCTGCTTGCTGAGAGCCCTTCCCACCTCCAGTTGGCCCTGGGCAGACCTGGATGGCTGCTCTGCCTCTTGCTTCTATTGAACTGTGGAGCAGCTTCTTCCTTTGTGACAGCCCTTTGCCTATGCACTTGTTGGCCATTCCCTGATTGAGGCCTATATTGGGGTACTTAGACATCAGGACAGGTGTTGGTGCCATGGCATATAACAAGCTAAGCTTCTGCCTGTGATACTGGCATACCATAAGGGCACTGGTTCATGTTCCGGCTGCTTTACTTTCTGATCCAGCTCCCTGTGTATGGCCTGGTAAAGCAGTGGAAGATGGTCCAAGGCCTTGGGATCCTGCATGCATGTGAAAAACCCAGAAGAAGCTCCTAGCTCTTGGCTTTGGATTGGCTCAGTTCTAGCTATTGCAGCCATTCGGGGAGTGAACAGATTTGTCTTTGTCTTTCCTTTTCTCTTACTCGATCTTTCAAATAAATAAATTTTGAAAAAATTGAAATAAAAACCACTACAATCTTGTCCCCAAGTGGGACTTCTCTCGGGACCAAACAGGTAGTGAGGGCAGAATCCCTGTTCATTCGAGTGACGTTCCTTCAAACCTGGCCTGTCTTGCAGAGCCTCTCCTCCCTGCCCTGACTCACTCTGGCAAACCCTCCGCCCCCACCCTGGAAGTCCTTCCTCCCTGCATGACCCCCAGGAATGCCTTACCTGTGGCCTTGATGGGAAGCACCAGGAGCAGACAGGCCACCCAGAGTAGGACACTGGGCCGAGCTCTGCCCACGGTTCCCATGCTGCTTGCAATTGCCAGTGGTCAGGAGCTGCAGTGGGTGGAAGGTGGAGCGTGAACTTTGGTACAATCCATCTACGTGTGGACCGCCATTTCATGCAAATGTGCCTAACCGGGCCGCCCCAGCTGGCTGGGGGCCAACCTCAGGGCCAGTGCCAATGGCCAGGCCTGGGCAGGGAGGGCCGGAAGGGCACCCTGTGGAGGACCCACCCCACGAGCCCTACGTGTTCACACTCCAGCTCCCCTGACCCCATGACTACTGTATGCCTCCTGATATGCCCCCAGTGGTCGACCTGAGGGAATGGCAGCCCACAGTGCTGGGGTGCCTTTTTGTGACCACAGGCCTGGGTGGGGGCTGGCATTTAGTCTTGTCTGTCACAAGTGGAGGGAACAGAAGTTGATTTTTTAAAAAAAGATTTGTTTTATTTTTATATGAAAGGCAGAACTACAAAGAGAATGAGAGACAGAGATCGATTAAAAAAATGAAGTTGAAATTCATAGAACATACAATTGATGATTACAAAGTATACAGTTCTGTGGGCTTTAATACCAAGTGTTATGCAACCCCATATCTCATGGACAAACACCCTGTAACCATTGACTGAATTGGCACCTGCATTCTACTTGCTGTAGATACCACAGAGATAGTTGTTTGTACCATATGAAACCTTTTGTGGCTGGCTCCTTCCACTTGACCAACGTTTTTGCTATTCATCCAAGTCATAGCATGTGTCAGTGCTTCAAACAAATTAGCTTGTGTATATGAAAGGCAGAGGGAGAGAAAGAGAAAGAACTTCTAGCTGTTGGTTCATTTCCCCAACACCTGCGGCTGGGCCAGGGGCTTGCAAGTCCTGCAGGTTTCCCCTGTGAGTGCCACGGATCCACGAACGTGAGCCATCCCAGGGTGTACATTGCAAGAACTTGAAACCCGAAGTGCAGCCAGGACTTGAAGGCAGGCCCCTGTGAAATGAGACGTGGGTGTTCTAAGTGGTTTCCTAGCTGCTGTGCCAAACGCTGGTGCTCGGTCATTACCAGCTTCAGGCTCCAAGCCGAGCCCATTTCCCACTGTGACTGCATGATGGCCCCTGTGGCTGTTGCGGGTGACTCTCATGGAGACCTACTCTGTGCGAGGCTTAGCAAGTGGTGGGACAGAAGTGAGAAGGAAGGGGGTGAGCTGAGGGGTGGAGCAGGGTGTGTGTTGGGGGGGGGAAGTGGCTGGAAGACCTCACAGGTGATTTTGTGCCCCCTCCTTCTCAGCTGGGGGCGAGTAGAAAGGCAAGGTTGTAGGGTTGTAGGGGTGGGTGAAAACACGTGTCTTGGAGCGCAAGGCAGCAAAAGCCTGTTCCTGGGACCAGATAGTGGGGTACGGGGTTGGAGTTGTCCCCTTGCAGGCTTGGGTGATCCCACAACCAGGGAGGGTGGGACTGAGCCCTAGGCCTCCAGCATCAGGCTGGCTGGGGTGGAGCAGGTCATGGAGGCCTTTTTCCGGTGCTCCATCTGGTGCCCAGGGCTGGAGGGGAAGGCCTTTGCCCTTCTGCTGGGAAGAACCAGTGTGGCTTCTTGGATTTTGCTTGGCAAGTTTCCAGAGGGCTGCAGGTGGCTTGCCTGCTTTTTGGGGCAGGGGGCCCAGCCAGCTTCTTTTTTTTCCTGCTGTTCTCTTCCTGCTGCTTGCTGCCAAGCCATGACCCTGACCACCTCCTGGCCACCCGGGCCATTGTGTGACCCTTGACCCTGCTGAGGTTCTTAACTCCTAGTTCCCTGGTCTATTTTCTGCTTAATCTTTCTTGTGGGTCATCCTGGAGCTCGTGTCCTTCCTCTGCCTGCTCCTCTTATCTGGTGCCTCATCTATGCCCTTGGTGAGGGGAGAGTACCCATCTGAACCCCAGGCTGTGGACCCAACTCCCTGCTGACGTTGTGGGTGGGCCCACCAGGGGCAGGGCAAGCCAGGCACACCAGGGAGAGAGACTGTCACCCCTTCCTTGTGTGAGTGGAAGGTTGGTGCCTCCAAAATCTGTACCCCACACTTCTGGCTTGCCTCACGTGCTCTTCTGATTTGGTGTGTTTCCTGTGGGTAGGTGTGATGGAAAGGGAACTGCTAAGTTCACAGGGTAATTGTGCTTTGTGCATGTGGCATTTGGGAGCTAATTAGCCCCCACTGCGATGATGGGGGCTTCCATGACAGAATCTGTGGCTTTATGAAGAGTGAGAGACCTCAACTGGCACACTTGCTTTGTTGCCCTAACCCCCGCTAGAGTGCCCTCTGCCAAGCATGATGTTGCAAGAAGGCCTTCAATGACTACCTGCTGCCTGCCCTTGATCCTGGACCCATCTGTCTCCAAAACTGTGAGCTGAATAGATGAGCATTCCTTATAAATCACCCCCTATACATCTTCAGTTATAGCAAGAGAAAACAGACCAAACCCTGTCCCTTTCAAGGTAGTTTGGGTTTTTCTTTCAAAGTGAAATGCGCCCTCATCATGGGACCCAGTGCTTCCTCCTCCCCTGTTGACCCAAAGAAATTGAGGTGAGGCTGCACATAGCGACTTAGCTAAAAAGTAATCACAACAGCTTTATTAAAAACAGCTAAGAAAGAGAAGTCATGTCAACACACATCAGTTGAGGAGTGGATAAAATGTGGTACATCCACACCCAGAAAGTGAGGCACTTTGGGTGAATCTCAACACATCAGGCTAAGTGACAGAAGCCAGCCACCAATGACCCAGTCCCAAGTGGTTCTGTGGGTCCTCTCTTGGAGGAGAGGTGGACCACAGTGGCCAGAACCCAGGGAAAAGGACAATGACTGACACCAAAGGGGGCACGAAGGAACTCCGGGTGGTGATGGGGTACAGCCAGAGGTGGTCCCTTTGCTTGTCGTCTATACGTATTCCAAATTAGCAAATTGCACACCCCAAAATGGGTGAAATGAACTGTATGCTAATTTTTAAATATGTCTGCTTATTTTCACCTGTTTGAGAAGCAGAGCCATAGAAAATAACCTCTCTGCTGGTTCGTTATCCACCTGCCCACTGGGCCAGGCTAAAACCCCCAGCCTGGAATCCTATTTAGTTCTGGATTTAACCTAAGTCTGGTTTAACCTAAGTCTGGTCTGCCATCTAGTGGCCAGAGTAGGCAATGGGGGAAAGAAACCCACGCATTCCCAAATGGATGAAGCTCTATTGTTGGGTTTAAAGGCATTGGATGGAAAAGTGAGGCCTTTCCAGAGGAAAGATCTTAGGGTGCATGTACCAGGGAGACAGCTGTTAACAAGAGAGAAAATGATGTGGTGGGAATGAGGCCGAGTACGCACAGCCGGCGCCTTTGCGAGCCATGATCAAAGTAAAAGAGTTTGGGGGAAGGAGCAGCAGGACAAGAAAAGTTAGGGAAACCATAGGGTCAGGAGGCAAGAGAATCATGTGTTCTATGTGGTGATGGAAGAAGGGTGCTTGGTGGTAGAGGGGGTGAGAAAGGTAAGAGGACACATTCTTGGACAGGGAGCTGGGGGCAACAGTGCCCCCCTTTCCTTGGGCATGTCTGGTGATTCCAGCTTCCCCATCCTAATTTCAGGAAATCCCCCTGCTGATGCATCTCTTTGGGGGATATGCTGTGATTATGAAGCAGGGGCCCCTTGGGAGTAAGCATGAGTTCTTGGGGTGGCAAATCTGGGGTCCTTGACTTTGTTGGACACTACATGGTCAGCCCGGGGTTCCAGGGACAGAAGGAGAAGCACAGTCTCACATCTCAGCAAAGTGAGGTCATTGTCATTGTGTCTGCAAACAGTGGGTGGGCCATCTGAAATGCCACACTTAATGTGGGGAGGGGGACAGTAGGTGGCCAGAGTGACTTCCAGTGGATGACCTTGGTGGCTGAGGTTGGGAGGGCCCGGGTGCTGTGGCCTGAATCTGTGTGGCTCCTTCAAGGTCATGTTGGAACCCAGTTTCTCATGTGCTGCTATTCGGAGGTGGGAATGTGAGGTGGTAGAAGGGATTAGCATCCTGATATCATGCCCAAGGGGCCTGTTCATTACTTCCTCTGGGTGAGGACACAGCGAGATGTCACCCCTGAATCAGGAAGAAAATCCACATGCTGGCACCTGCACCCAGATGTTTGAGCAGCAAAACAATGTACTTCTGGGGCCCCCCCAGGTACTGTATTCTCACTTCCGAAGCCTGAGGGCACCAGGGCATGGCAGCTCCCGGTGCCCAGGTCTCCTATGGGCCGCTTACAAATGTGAGCTCACAGGGCATGTTGGGAGGAGGATAAGGGCTTCTGACACCCAAGGGAGGGCAACAGCCCCCAAAGCAGCTTGCACTGAGTGGGGAGGACCTGGGAGCTGGGAAGATAGCAGACAGAGGGTGGGGAGAGAAGGTGAAGAGGGGGAGGTGAGAAGAGCAGGAGGGCCCTAGGGCCAGTGAGAGATGAGGAAGGTGGGCTTCTGTGGGAGTTAATGGGTATAGCCTCACGAAAGGAGTGTTGAGTGCATCTGGCACAGGGCACCCAGGGCAGGCAGGGCAGGGAGCCTTGGCAGCAGATGCTCCACAAGGGTGTGCTGAGGGGAAGAGGGCAGGCGAGTGACAGTCCTTAGTGGGTGGGGCAAGGATCCCCCTTCTTGACACAATAGCTACAGTTCTGTATGCCCCTGCAAAGCCCCCATTAGCTCCTGCATCTTCTGGGGCAGGGTTTGATCCCAGAGCTGGCGCCTGTGGGACTTCAGGGCCTGGCCCACTGTAGGCTGCACCCTCAGTTGCAGGTACTGCTCCTTCTGGTCCAAGACGGGCCATTGTGGCAGGCCCTCACCATTGGGGTTCCTGCAAACAAGATGTCAGGAAGGGGGACCATGGGGAATCTGAGCAGCCTCCCTGGGGTTGGTCCAGATCAGGAGTGGTAGGGTATGAGTTTGCAGGTACAGGAGAACTGCCTCCTCCCCTGGTGTCAGCTCCACCTGGGAACCTGCCAACATGGGCTGTGGTGTCTTCACTCCCCTGGGGATCCTCTGTGGTTAACAGCTGATGGCAATGTCAGGTCATGGCCTGGATGGGTAGATAGAGTATCCCTGGTCCCCAGGGTCCCTGTGTGTCCAATGGGCCATGCTACTAGAGAGGGCGCTGTCATGTGACTAAAGACACTTGGCTGCTGCTGAGGTTCCCACAGGGGAGGGTCCCATGGCTCTGAGGAAGTGGGGGTGGGGTGGGGTGGCGCAACTCACCCGGTGCGAGCAAAGTTGGCCCAGTACTTCATCATCCTCCTGCTCAGCAGCTCCTCCTCCTCAGTGAGAGTCACTGCAGTGGGGAAGGACACAGGGTCAGTTTAGGCCAGGGCAGGCCCTCTGCTCCACCATGACCACATTCACCAGCTGAGGCCCACTGCCCCACCATGACCACATTCACCAGCTGAGGCCCACTGCCCCACCATGATCACTCTCTCCAGCTCAATGGAGATTGACCTCAGTTGCCTGCATGAAACTTACCTTCTCCTGACCACAGGGACTTGGTTTTTACTTTGCCAATCACCCTATCTGAACCTGGTCAAGATCACTTGCTCCTGGCCTTTTGCTTGCCCAGTAGGTTTTATCCTTCTGATCTTGGGTGAATACTCAGGGGACAGCTCTGTACCTGGGAGAAACACCCATTGTGGGGCCGGGCAGAGGAGAGAGCCGGGTCAGAAGGCACTCATGGTGCAGTCCTGGCTCAGTGCTGGGAGCTGTGGGACTTGGGGTGCTTGATCCCATCTGAGCCTCAGCCCTGTCATATGTGCAGTGGGCACAGTGTACCTTCAGGAGAGCCAGGTACTTCATCCCCATCTGGGGAAGGAGCAAGCCTCACCTTTTCCCCCAAAGAAAATGCATCTGAAGACAAAGAGAAGCTCATCACCATGGTCGGCCCTCACGTGGGGTGGACGGAAGTCTTTCATGAAGCTGGGTGAATGCTGGAACTCATAGAAGTAGACAGGGGCGTGGGAACCTGTGTGACAAGTGCACAGGGCGACAAGTGAAGGCCCCTTCTCTGGGTTTTCAACACTACTCAACAGGACAGCAGAGTGATGCTCATTTGATCTGACCTGGGCAGTGCTGTGGAGCCCCAGGCTGAGAAGGGCCATGGCAAGGGTCTGAATTAGGTCCTGGAATTGGACTTTATAGCTGGGAGATACTGACAAAGTGTAGCTGCCTCACTCCACTCCCACCCTGTCTATTGCTTAGTCCCCTGGTGGAGATGTCCATCTCATGAACCAGCAGGAGGGTGGGTCTAGATAAAGGACATGGGTACCAAATGGATAGGATTCTGCACAGGATATTCCTCCCTGGAGACCCAATGAAGTAGGCAGAGCGCCGCCTAGGGAGGCCTTAGCAACAGGGAACTCACGCTGAAAATGTGCGACATGGAGTGAAGGCATCACGAACAGGCCATCGGCCATCATCTCCTGGAACTGAGTCATGAGGGTCTTGGGGTCCTCATTGTCACCCAGATACTCGTCCAGCAGCTGCTCCTCTATGGCAGGAGGCAACATCTAGCCCAGGGGACAGGGACGGAGTCAGGGAGGCAGGCTGCCAGGGAGAGAGGCAGCTGAGAAAGGTCCTGAATGAAGACAGGAAATGAAGCAAAGGAGAAAGCTCGGGGCCATCCCATCCCCAAGCACACACACTGCCAGCTGTGCGTTGGTTTTGAGGTCCCGTAGGGCAGCGAACTGTAGGGCAGAATGCCTAGAGCCTCACCCACTGTTCAGATGTTTGATGTATTAGTGCCTCCATGGCTGCTCTGTCCATTTCCTTCTGGGGTTCTCCAGCAGCAATGACCTAAGAGGTTAGCAGAGGGTTTCAGGTTGGAGGTAGATAAGCAGGGGAGATCTGATGTCCTAAGGTCTGCCTGCAAGATGGGATCCTAGGGAATTTGGCCTGGGCTCACCTTGGGGATGACCCAACCATACTCATCGTTGTTGACACCAATGATGCTGGGGACGGGTTGGAAGTCAGCAGAGGCCAGCAGCTCATAGGGGTGTCTGGGCAGGAAGATGCCATCCACCACCGCGGAGATGCTCATGAAGGCCTAGGGGCACCCGAAGTCAGAGTGAAGATTTGTTCACCAAACTTTTTAAGACTCTTCCACACACCTGGCTCATCTCAGCAGGCTCACCACCCTTCTACACTCCTTGAGGTCCCATGCTTGACTTACAGGATTTGGTCATCCTTGCCCATGAAAGGCTGGGAGGACAGGAAGGCATGAACATGAGCTGGGAGTTCAGGGACTTTGAAGGACATGAGAGCTGATCACCCTTTTGTACCAGTGAATGGGGTCCCACCTTGGTCATCGCCACTATCTCCTCTTTACTCTTGGCACGCAAGCAGTCCACCAGGGTCTCAGAGTCCACCTGGCCACAGCCAGACAGGTTGGCCACCACCTGCGAAAGGAGCACATGGGCTGGAGACCAATGTAGGAGAGGAAGGAGGGTGTCTGAGGACCAGCCAGAGGCAGGAGCAGAGTCTTGTGGGCATACAGCTGTGGCCTGGAGGCTTACTAGTCCTCCCTTCCTGATTTGGAGCATTTTGGCCTCAGTGATCTGCACCTGCTTAGCAGACTGCAGACAAGGTGGATTTCAGAGGGGCAGCTCTACAGAGCCAATAACCGTGTGAGAGTTTATTGACGTACAGGTATGAGGGTTCTGACCCCTTGTTTCTTAGCCATCCCCGGGATGGGCAATGCTGAGACACCCGATGGGCCATGTATGCCCACTCAATAGAGATAGTAGCAAAGGACCAGAGACGGAAGATGGCAGTTTCAGGACTGGGCCACTGGGGGACACTCACTGAGGAGATCATCTCAGATGAGCTGGTGATCATTCCAGGCAGCACGGCCACTCCACTCTCCATGATGGCTCCATGGAAGAGTCCTTGCGACATGGGTGATAGCACGTGTGAGGACACGCTTACACCACCAGCAGACTCGCCAAATATGGTGACCCGGTCAGGGTTGCCTCCAAAGTAGGCGATGTTCTGCTGCACCCAGCGCAGTGCAGCCACTTGGTCCAGGTAGCCCCAGTTGCCACTGGCATGCTGGTCTCCAGTGCTGAGAAGTAGGAAGGACAGGGATGGCAGGCCTGTGCCAGGGCTACTCCTCCCTCAGTGCCTGGCCTAGGCCCAAACTCACCTGAAGAATCCCAGGATTCCTAGGCGGTACTGGATGGTGACCACCACCACATCCTCAAAGGCTGCCAGGGCAGAGCCATCATACATAGAAGCCATGCCTACAACAAGTGCACCTCCGTGGATCCATACCATGACCTGGAGACATCAGGGTCAATGCCAGGAGTTTCTTTCTAGCTTAACCCCATTTTGCTATTACTTCCTCTACCTGTGCTTTGTGCTTGTGCAGATTCCCATGTAGCCAGATACGTGGTGAGATCACAAGAACCTGGTCATGAGTCTGGGATCCAGGTATAGTCAGTAAGCCCAGGCCTGCTGTTCAGTGCTTGGCTCTATCAACCCCAGAACTCACTATGGAGGGAAGGGGTGACTCTGATTATTCACATGGATCCCCTGGGCTGGGTGGGCTGTGATGATGTTCAAGTGCAGCCCTTGATCATCTGAGTGTTTCTCCTAGACATGAGGTGTGGCAGGTGTCTGGGCTCCCCAGGGCCCATGCATTCTGTGCTCTGGAGTAGCTAGGCCTCTGTGACTCCATGCTCAGTGTTTAGGTGCCCACCCCAGGGAAGAGGCACTTTCTGGACACAGGGAACAGCTTCTCACCAGGATCCACACACTGGAGGCCACAGTCACATCATCCCTCCCCATCCTCCAGCAGCAGGATGCCCTCACATTCACCAGCTGCCCCTGGCCTCCCACTCACAGGCAGCTTGGAGCCCTCACGGGCATGGGCAGGCGCGTAGATGCTGAGGTACAGGCAGTCCTCGGACATGGGAATGGACAGTAGTGTCAACGTCATGTTCATAACATCATGTTCCATCATAGCAATGTTTTGTGGACACCTGGAACCAACAAAGGCAGACGTTAGTACAGGATACATGCTGTGGCTGAAGCCAGAGCCTGTGACCAGACTTGCCCTTGGTCCTCTTAGTCCTTTACCTCACTGCAACCTGCTCACTCTTGAACCTGCCCTATGATGCCTCCCATCCAGATACAGAGTCTGAGACTCTGGGGCAGCAGGGATGCCACCAACTTCCAGAGACCCTCCAGGTACACTTGACTCTCTTGGTCTCTATGGGAAGTTTTGCCTGAAGATGCTGACCTCAGTGCTGTGTCTCCCTACACAGTCAGGTGCAAAGCACAGGAGTCTCCTACACCCGTGCTGGGTGTGTGGATGCCCATCCCTTCTTCTGGAAAGGTAGTGGGATGGCCCATGTCCTGGGAGCCTTATCACTCCTGCACAGCCCCCAGTTCTGATGCACACTTGTCCCTTGGCCATTGTCCTTGGCTCTGGGTTGGCTTAGTGCTGTGCCAGCCTCTAGTGGTGCCCATCTCAGGGACCTGTAGGATCTGCTGTTGAAGCCAGGGACTCCTTCAAACTTGAAGAGTCAACCTGGGAGCTCACTCAGGACAGTGCTTTCTCACCAGGGCAGCACAGCAATCTGGCAGAAACTAAACATGAGTCTCTGCCTCCATTTTCAGCACCTGGAGCTAAAGGCCTCAGAGTCCCAAGTCCTGAGTCAAGAGCCTGACAGGAGCCTGGCAAATCCACTGGAAGTGTTGCTGTGGGAGTCCACAGCACAGTAGGGCTGTCAGCTGTGCGCTGTGGATGGAAGGGCAGCCGGACCTGGGTGAGCACTTAAAGACTCCCATTCCCACTCCAGACCTGATGCTCCCTGGATCCCTGGGAAAGCTCACATGGCTGGATGGGAGGTGCCATCCCTCACTCCACTCCAAGCTTCGGCAGGTTCAGGAGGTGCAAAGCGCAGTGGTCCCAGAGGCGGCTTGGCAAAGGGAATGCCTAGAAATGTGTGGACTCCCGCATTGGTGCCTTCCACGTGGACCAGGCTTCCTTGCACCTGCCCGGAGTGCGTAGTCCTGATGGGGCTGGTGAAGTCCTTGCCTGTGGGCATTAGTAGTGTGATCATGAATGGATGGGCTGCATGCCAGCTGTGCTCCCATGCGAAATGCTAGTGTAGCCACAACTCCAGGATGCATTTTGTCACACCAAATGAGACATCCAACCACAATTTTCCTATTGCGTGTACATGATACTGCAAAGCAGCCTTGTTAATAAAGGAAGCTAAAACCTAGAACCCAGAACCCGATGAAGTGTCTAGAATAGAGTTACAAATGAAGAGAGCAAGAGCACACTCGGGAGACAGAGGAACGATTCAAGACACATCTAGGAGTGCCAGCAGTAGAACCCACATGGTGTCCTGCTCCTGTAAGAGAACCAGACTCTACTGGGTTCTTTAATATAGCAGCACAATTAGGAAAAAATGAAGAGAGTGCAGGGACAGGAGGTGGCATGAAGAGTGAAAGAGACCCAAAACACAACAAAAATAACAAATGGCAGCAGATCATCAAGAATGTAGGTCAGAATGTGGAACCTTTGCACAGTGCAGGTGGCCTAACTGCTATGGACACCAGCAGTTGGGCAATGGTAGGGGCAGAGTCCTGAGCCTTTGATTATTTTTTAGTTATAGATCTATTTACTTTTTGAAAGGGTCAAGTTTCAAAGAGAGAGGGAGAGACAGAGCTCCATCTGCTGGTTCCTCTCCAAACAGCCCCAATAGCCAGGGCTGGGTCAGTCCTAAGCCAAGAGCTTTGAACTCCATCTGAGTCTCCCCAATGGGTGCCTGGACCCAAGCACTGTGACCACCTTCCACTGCTTTCCCAGGTTCATTAGCAGAGCGAGAGCTGGGTTGGAAGTTGAGCAGGCAGAACTGGAATCCACACCCATATGGGATTTAGTGGTATAAGCAGTGATTTAACCTGCTACTCTAGAAGGCTGGCTCCAGTACTGGACCTTTTAAAGCGGCAGATGAAGAGCTAAGGCCAGGGATCTGAGAAGGGCTCTAGGATTGGCAATTGGGGCTTCTGTAGTCCCCAATCCAGCTACCTTTTGGCGGCCCTTTTGATATGAGTTGGGATGGGGACAGACAGGTTCATTACTGTCCTTTGACTGGTAGGCAGCCTTAGCTCAGCCACAAGCACGGGAAGGAAGTGGCCTCAACTCCAGCCCCTGTTGACCCTGACCAGTTCTGCTGAGAGCTTCTTGCTGGGCTCACTCCACCCCATTTCTAAGGCAGCCACCACCCTGTCCTACAGTCTCCCAAGCTTGATTCCGCTCCAGGATCCCGCCCCTTCACCCTTCTTTTTCCTTCTCATTGCCGGCTGTCCCGCCCACTTGGGCTCTAACTGCAGATGCAACCTGGGTTTGCGTGGCTGCCCTCGGAAGCCTCACCTTGTCCTGGGAGGAGGAGCAGCAGGAGCCCGCAGGTGATGGTGCCCAGCTGCGCACACAGGCGGTGTGGCCCCATGGTTCCAGGCAGGTTCTGGTGTGTGCTGCTGCTGTGTGCTCCAGAAGCTGCCCTGGGCGTGCCAGGGTGGAATTTGGACTGGGCAGAGAGTGGGAGGGGCGGCCTTTGGGGCGGAGCAAGGAGATCTCATGGGAGAGCAGGACTGAGCTGAGCGCGCTGAGGTCAGTGCAAGATCAGAGTCAGGGCTGCCTCTCCTCTCTCTGGCAGTCCAGGATCCTCCTGTCAGTCCTGTCAGTGAAGGCCACTGCAGTCAGGATAGACCACATGCAGTGATGAGCTGTGATTGGGCAATCCAAAAGGGTTAAATCCTCACAGATGGAGCACTGGGTCCAGGGTTTTCAGGTGGGTGAAAGGCAAACACCTGAGCCTAGGAGGGAAAGTGCAACTGCCTGCATCTTGAAGGCTCTGGTTCTGTGCTAGTGTTTCATGGGTTCTGGGACCTTCCCCTGAGAACCCACACCGCTCTCCCCGCTGCTGCTCAATACAGCCTGGTATTGATGGAACCCAGTGTTTTTGGTTTCTGCATCTTGGTCTGAGATCAGTTCTATTCTTCCCTTGACAACCGTGCCAGGCAGGGGAGCTCAACAGGCTCAGCTGAGCTGGAGCCCTTCCCTGTGAGTCCATCACTCCCCCAGGCAGTCTGTCTAACCCGCCCATGCCCAGATGCACATGTGCTTCATCAGGCTCAGGAAGCAGATGCCTTGGTGGCTCAGGAGAAATACAGCTCCATGTGGATGGGCTGTGCAAACTGCAGCAAGGGTCCCACTGGTGCAGCAGACTGGGAGGAGGATGCACATCCAAACCATACCCCTCTAAGGACTAGTGTCCATAAGAAAGTCTGAACTCAACAAGTCTTGTAGCAAGTGGGCAGATTGCAGTGGCCTTTGCTTCGGTGGCTAAGATGCAGGGAGGATGATGTGCCATGTTCTAGTGCCTTTGTTGACCCCCATGCTCTGATTCCTAGCCCTAGCTTCCTACTAGGCAATGAAGATGGCCCAAATGATGAGGTACCAGTTACCCGTGTGGGAGACCTGGATGGAGTTCACAGCTCCCTGCTTTGGCATCCGGGCCTCAAGGCACATGTGGGAAGAGACTCAAGGGATGAGAGCTCTTGCTCCTTCTATTTGTCTTTTTCTCCTTGCCTCTACTTCTCAAATGGATAGATGTCTTGGTTTTTTTGAAAAATAGTCAAATGATCTAAATAAATATTTCCAATAGCAAAATATATAGAAGGTCATCAAATATTTTGTGAGTGTTTAAAGATTTATTTATTTTCTTTATAATGCAGAGTTGCAGAGAGAGAGGAAGGCAGAGACAGAAAAAGAGATCTTGCATCAACTGGTTCATTCTCTAAACAGTCACAATGGCCAGGGCCAATCCAGACTGAAGACAGGCTGAAGGCAGTAGGCAGGAGCTTCTGGGTTTCTCACATGGGTGCAGGAGGCCCAAGTACTTGAAAGACCATCCTCTGCTGCTTTCCCAGGCACGTTATCAGGGAGCTGGATCAGCAGTGGAGCATCCAGGAATAGAACTGGGACACTATATCTACAGGACAGCATGCCTCAGTACTGGTTCCCAACAAATATATTTAAAATGTACTCATATCACTAATTATTAAGCTATTGAAATCATTTTGGTCATTCTGGTAGAAGAGAAAGCCTGTCAATTGTGGCAGGGATATGGAGAAAAGAGGACATATTATTATGAGATTGAAATATTATTGCAATCTCAAACAGCCTGTATTACATGCAATAAGATATTGTGATGTAACCAATGAACCAACAATCAATGTGAGTCAGACTGCTTATGATCTACATCAAAGAACTATAAAAGCCAATATACTTTTAATGTACTATATTAGTCTATAATGGGTCAGGAGAGCAGAGAAATCTTCCACCTTCGTAGAATGTGTGAGGAAGACGTTAAGTATAACTTATCAAGAATATAACAGGTAACTTATAGACCACAGACTCGAATCGGCATTAGACATTAGCAAAACTATAAAGACATACAGGGGAATCAAGAGTGATCCTGACAACCTCTGAACAGGAGGTCATATGCAAAGAGTGGGTCAGGGGCGGGGACCCCAGAGTGGAGCAAGAGGACAGGAGGGGGCTTGTATCCCAACCCTGGAGACTCCCAGATCCTCACCAAGGAAAAGCAATGTGGGCACCAAGGAGTTTATCCCAACTGCCAAAGAGATCACGGAGAATTGGAATGCCCTCGGAGGCTGAGAACCCTGAGACCATCCACTTCCTTTCGGATCTCCCACATGGGATGGAAGATGCCCAGATCCTTCCTCACAGGATCTAATGTCATCGGAACAATAGCTGGGAGCCCTGAGCAGACCTCAGAATCAGAACAGTAAACTTCTTTTGGGACTCGGGAGGGGAGCTTTCTCTGGTCTTTACTTAGTTCCAACTTTGGATCCCCACCCTTTCTTGCAATGACCATCAGGGTCGCTCCAGAGCCCACCCAGCAAAAAATTAGATTAGACAGCCAGAGAACAACAAGGAAAGCTTAGAAACAGACAGGAAACAGTCAGCTTGGACTCACATATACCTTACTAGGTAGGACACAAAGTTTAGTTACTCCCACTAAAATCCGGCAAGTTCAGTAAAAATTATGCTTCAACACTATAAACTGCTAAATACAAAAATGAAAAGAGACATGAGACAGCTGGGTAGTACACTATAGTAATTTTAAAGTGTATAGCAGTTGGTTGTATATAAACTAAAATTGAAATATCAATGAAGTAGTCACAGGATGTGGTTAAGAACTTGCATTTTTTTTAACATTGGTTACTCAATACCATGACAATTAATTCCATAATGTTGTAAATTGTTGTTGATGTTATGTTGTGGCTTTTCATAGGATGGGTTGATATTCTGCCAGCTCTGCTTTCAGACCAGAGATGGTCTCCCCAAGAAACTGTTGAATTTATCTGGACAATAAGATGCTGGACTCTATGCATGGTACATGCTTGCAGTAAAGGAATCATGACTGGATTTGAACTGTAATACTGCAACAAGGTGGAGGAATTCACCATGGGGGGAGAGCATGGAAAGTGGTTGGGGGAATCCCAGAGCCTATGAAACTGTGTCACAAAATGAAATAAAAAAAAAAAAAGAAAAAAATGAGATAAAATACTACCGTAATTTCAAGAACTGATAACTGGGTAAAAAAATAAAAATACAATAAAACATGTATTTGCACCTCCATGTTTATTGTAGTCAGTGTGTTAGTTACCCAAGCTAGGAGCTGCCAGGTATGTGAGCCTGTGGAACGGTTATTAGGTATGTATATCTCAGAAGAAGTAATGGGAGCCTTTATTTGTGGCAATATAGAGGGGATGGGAGGAGGCCACTGATGGCAGCCTGAGGGCACCAGGACACGGTGATTCCTGGTGCCCAGGTCTCCTATGGGTCATTTACAGATATAAGCCCACAGGGCATGCTGGGAGGAGGAAGATGGCTTCTGACATGCAGTGGTGGGCAAAAAACCCCAAAGCAGCTCGTACTGAGTGGGGGCAGGCCTGGGACTGGAAAGATAGGTGAGAGAGGATGGGAAGGAGAGGGGGTGAGGAGAGCAGATGGAGCCCCAGGCCAGTATTAGAATAGGTGGTGGGCTTCCAGTGGTGCCAATGGGCAAAGCCTCACGAGGGCAGTGTTGAGTGCATCTAGCGCAGGGCACTCAGGGCAAGCAGGGCAGGGAGCCTCTAGCAGCAGGTCCTTCATAAGGGTGTTCCACAGGGATAGAGGACAGGTGAGTGACAGCCCATGGGTGGGGTCAGGGTCTCATATCTAGACATGGGAAGCTACAGCTCTGTGTGGTTCTGCTCAGCCTGCATCAGCTCCTGCATCTTCTGCGGAAGCATCTGGTCCCAGAACGGGCGCCTGTGGGCCTTCAGGGCCTGGCCCACTGCAGGCTGCACCCTCAGCTGCAGGTACTGCTCCTTCTGATCCAAGACGGGCCATTGTGGCAGGCCCTCACCATTGGGGTTCCTGTAGATGAAAGGTGAGGAAGGGGGACCATGGGGACTTTGAGCCCTTATCCCCATTACCTGAGTGCCCTAGCTAGGGCCAGGCCAGTCCATCATGCAGGCCTGATGTAGTGGGGGATGGTTACAGCTACAGGAGAGGGGTCACTGGCATAGGCTCCACATGGGGACCTTCACCAGGAGTGTGGTTTCCCTCACACCCAAAGAGACTCAGAGTGACAGTTCTTGGCCAAATCCAGGTCACAGAGGGTGGATGGGGAATGTAACCCTGGATCCCAGGACTCCTTGTGTGCCAGTGGGCCCTGCCACTGGAGAGGGCGCTGGCACATGACCAAGGATACTAGCCTACTATGCAGGTCCCTACGGGGGAGAATCCCATGGCTCTGGGTAGGTACAATGAGGTGGGACGTCTTACCTGGTACGAGCAAAGTTGGCCCAGTACTTCATCATCTTCCTGCTCAGCAGCTCTTCCTCCTCAGTGAGAGTCACTGCAGCGGGGAAGGACACAGGTCAGCTCAGGCCAGCATAGCCCTGCTGCTGCACCATGGCCAGACTTACCAGCCCAGACCAGTGCCCCACCATGACCACATTCACCAGCTCAGGCCCGCTGCCCCACCATGATCACACTCATCAGCGAGTGTGGGATCACTTAGGGGACAGATGTGCTTCCAGGACAGACCTCACCACGGTCCCGGGCAGAGAAATAGGGAACCCAGGCCTGGAGCTACTTATGTTGCAGTCCTGGGAATTGAGAGACTTGGGGTGCTTGATCCCATCCTTAGCCTTACTCTTGTCATCCATGCAGTGGGCACAGAGGCCCCTCAAGATAGCCAAATGCTGTATCCCCTGCCTGCGGGAAGAAGTCTCACCTTTTCTCCCATAGAAAGTGGATCTGAAGAGAAAGGCAAGCTCATCGCCATGGTCGGCCCTCACGGAGGGTGGACGGAAGTCCTTTGCAAAGTTGGACGAATGCTGGAACTCGTAGAAGTAGACGGGGGCA